GATAACCAGACATTCCATTTCTGGAAATAGATCTTAAGGAAATAATTAAGAATGTAAACAAAGATTTAACTACAAGGACATTGCATCAAAGTATAGTTTATAATAGTGAGAAATTATGAACAACTGAAATATCTACTGGACTGTAAATTATTACATCCATATAGCTGAATATTTAAAATGATATTCATATGTGTGTGTGTGTGTGTGTGTGTGTATATATGCACACATTTTTTTTTTTTGAGACAGAGTCTCACTCTATCGCCCAGGCTGGAGTGCAGTGGTGTGATGTCGGCTCACTGCAGTCTTCGTCTCCCAGGTTCAAACAATTCTCATGCTTCAGCCTCCCGAGTAGCTGGGATTGCAGGCGCCTGCTACCACGCCTGGCTAATTTTTGTATTTTCAGTAGAGATGGGGTTTTGCCATGTCAGCTAGGCTGATCTCGAACTCCTGACCTTAAGTGATCCACCCACCTCTGCCTCCCAAAGTGCTGGGATTACAGGTATGAGCCACGGCTCCCGGCCTTCTTGGATATATTGACATGGAAAGGAGTTAAAGGTTAACTTAGTAAACGAGGATATCCAGATGTCCAGTAACCGTGCTCAACATTACTCGTCATAGAGAAATACAAAATAAAACCACAATGAGATACCAATCCACGGCCTACCAGAAAGGCTTATATTAAAATCAGACTGGCCTGGCACAGTGGTTCACGCCTGTAATCCCAGCACTTTGGGAGGCCTAGGTGGATGGATCACTTGAGGTCAGCAGTTGGAGACTAGCCTGGCCAACATGGTGACACCCTGTCTCTACTAAAAATACAAAAACTAGCCAAGCGTGGTGGGTGCCTGTAATCCCAGCTACTTGGGAGGCTGAGGCAGGAGAGTCACTTGAACCCGGGAGATGGAGGTTGCAGTGAGCTGAGATCGCACTGCTGCACTCTAGCCTGGGCGACAGAGCAAGACTCCCTGTCAAAAAAAAAAAGACTGGGCACTGTGGCTCACACCTGTAATCCCAGCACTTTGGGAGGCCGAGGCAAGCAGATCACAAGTTCAGGAGTTCAAGACCAGCCTGGCCAACATGGTGAAACCCCATCTCTACTAAAAATACAAAGAATAACTGGGTGTGGTGGCTTGCTTCTGTAATCCCAGCTATTCAGGAGGCTGAGGCAGGAGAATCATTTGAACCTGGGAGGCAGAACTTGCAATGAGCCGAGATCACGCCATTGCACTCCAGCCTGGGCAACAGGGTGAGACTCCATCTCAAAAAAAAAAAAAAAAAAAATCAAGCCAAAAATAATAACATCAAATTTTAGCAAACATGCAGAGTAACCACAGCTTTCATGTGAAATAGTATTGCCATTGGGGGACAGGTTGGCAGGGCCTTATAAACCTGAATGCACATATACCCTGTGATCCACCAGTTCTCCTACGTTGTGCCGATCAGACGTGCATAACATTGTGAACCAAAAGACACATAGCAGGATGATGCTAGCAACGTATTCATAGTAACTCCAAACTGGAAACAACCTAAACATCCATCAAGAGGAGAACGGGCGGATTGTGGTATATTCACACATTGGCATGTTACACAGCAATGAGAACCCCTGCCACATATAGCAGCGTGGACGAATCTACAGAGACGGTACTGGGCGAAGGAAGCCAGACAAAAGAGTACATACTTTATGATTCCGTGTATGTATTTTAGTACTCTACTTGCCAGTTCTTTCTCAGTTGTGTGCCTTTTCTGAAAAGAACTCCCTTTTTCTGTTATGAAATTGTACTTTTTATCGGTCCCCTTATCTTCCTCACAGAGGTAGCTGAGGAGCTTGGGAGAGCCGCCTCCTCGTCATCTGTTGTTCCGTACCTGCCCCGGCTACCTATACTTCCTTCCAAGACTCGGACACTGAAGAAACAGGTGGAGAACAAGGAGAACATTGAAGGGGCACAGGATGCCACAGAAAATTCTGCTTCCAGTTTAGCACCAGGTATGGGTCTCTCGGAGGTAGAATCAAAATAGAAACTGCTTTGTTGAAAGAAGCATGGAGTATGAGGCTTTTATGTTCACTTTCATGCCTGTCTTCCTGGAGGGAAGCATGGCGTCCCTTTTACCCACCCACAAAGCCCTTGGCTCCGCATTGCCAGTGTTGGTCGTCCTGATCTATCCATCCAACATACAACTCTGGCTCCAGTTTCATCTCCTTAACCCTGGGTTCCCAAGTAGGTATCATCTTTACAGTTCCATCAAAAACTTCCCTGAACCTGATAGAGAAGAGGTTGTGCGGTGGTTTTTAAAGAAAGGATGAGTGTTGAGGTAATAATCAGTGGGTTATCTCCTCCCTGGCTTTTTTTTTCTTTTATTTTGAGATGGAGTCTCACTCTGTCGCCCAGGCTGGAGTGCAGTGGCGCAGTCTTGGCTCATTGCAAGCTTCGCCTCCCGGGTTCACGCCATTCTCCTGCCTCAACCTCCCGAGTAGCTGGGACTACAAGTGCCTGCCACCACGCCCGGCTAATTTTTTGTATTTTTAGTAGAGACGGGGTTTCACCGTGTTAGCCAGGATGGTCTTGATCTCTTGACCTCCTGATCCTCCTGCCTTGGCCTTCCAAAGTGCTGGGATTACAGGCGTGAGCCGCCGTGCCCGGTCCCCTGTCTCCCCCAGTTTTTAAAACTCATATCACGTTTGGAACACCAGTCACTGTGAAGTGATAATGTATTTATTATTTATCTCTGAGTCCTGCCAACACCTAACACTTGATAAATGCTGACAAAACTCTTATAATGCTGCCTTGGTAATTCAAATGTGATAGATTCACTTCTTGTCTTTTAAGTTACTGATCAGCCATTTCTCATCAGGGTTCGTCAGAGGTGCACAGGCCTCCAGTGGATCCCCAGCACTGCCTCGAAAGCAAAGAGACAAGTCACCCAGCAGCCTCTTGGATGATGCCAAAGAGACATGCTTCACCAGGGATAGGAAGGGGGGCTTCTTCAGCTCCTTCATGAAAAAGAGAAATGCTCCCACACCCCCCAAACGCAGCAGCTCCTTCCGAGAAATGGAGAATCAGCCCCATAAGAAATACGAACTCACGGGTAACTTCTCATCTGTTGCTTCTCTACAGCATGCTGATGGGTTCTCTTTCACTCCTGCCCAGCAAGAGGCGAATCTGGTGCCACCCAAGTGCTATGGGGGGAGCTTTGCACAGAGGAACCTCTGTAATGACGACGGTGGTGGGGGTGGGGGCAGTGGCACTGCTGGGGGTGGGTGGTCTGGCATCACAGGCTTCTTTACACCACGCTTAATCAAAAAGACACTGGGCTTACGAGCAGGTAAACCCACAGCCAGTGATGACACTTCCAAGCCTTTTCCAAGGTCAAACTCTACATCTTCCATGTCCTCAGGGCTTCCAGAGCAGGATAGGATGGCAATGACCCTTCCCAGGAACTGCCAGAGGTCCAAACTCCAGCTGGAAAGGACAGTGTCCACCTCTTCTCAGCCAGAAGAGAATGTGGACAGGGCCAATGACATGCTTCCAAAAAAATCAGAGGAAGGTGCTGCTCCAAGCAGGGAGAGACCAAAAGCCAAGTTATTGCCCAGAGGAGCCACAGCTCTTCCTCTCAGAACGCCCTCTGGGGATCTAGCCATTACAGAGAAGGACCCTCCAGGGGTGGGAATGGCTGGAGTGGCAGCTGTCCCCAAGGGCAAAGAGAAGAATGGTGGGGCACGACTTGGGATGGCTGGAGTTCTAGAGGATGGAGAGCAGCCAGGCTGGCCTTCTCCAGCCAAGGCTGCCTCCGTCCTCCCAACCGCTCACAACCACAAAGTGCCAGTCCTTATCTCACCCACTCTGAAACACACTCCAGCTGACGTGCAGCTCATTGGCACAGACTCTCAGGGGAATAAATTCAAGCTCTTATCTGAGCATCAGGTCACATCCTCTGGAGACAAGGACCGACCCCGACGGGTAAAACCAAAGTGTGCCCCACCCCCACCACCAGTGATGAGACTACTGCAGCATCCGTCTATCTGCTCAGACCCTACAGAAGAGCCGACTGCCCCGACTGCAGGACAGTCCACGTCAGAAACACAGGAAGGAGGAAAGAAGGCAGCTCTGGGTGCAGTGCCTGTCAGTGGGAAAGCTGGGAGGCCAGTGATGCCTCCACCTCAAGTGCCTCTGCCCACATCGTCCATCTCGCCAGCCAAAATGGCCAACGGCACAGCAGGTACTAAAGTGGCTCTGAGAAAAACCAAACAGGCCGCTGAGAAAATCTCAGCAGACAAAATCAGCAAAGAGGCCCTGCTGGAATGTGCTGACCTACTGTCCAGTGCAATCACGGAACCTGTGCCCAACAGCCAGCTGGTAGACACTGGACACCAGCTGCTCGACTACTGCTCAGGCTATGTGGACTGCATCCCTCAGACTCGCAACAAATTTGCCTTCCGAGAGGCTGTGAGCAAACTGGAACTAAGCCTGCAGGAGCTACAGGTGTCTTCAGCAGCTGCTGGTGTGCCCGGGGCAAACCCTGTCCTTAATAACTTATTGTCATGTGTACAGGAAATCAGTGATGTGGTGCAGAGGTAGCCACTGTTAGCCTGGTGGGAAAATGCACACATTTCTGAGGGGAGAGGGAAAGGGACTTGTTTTCCTGTGTTCTTGTTTTCAGAAAATGAAAGACTCATACTTGAGTGTGTTTATGTGAAGTACCTCAGATCCCTGAGTTCTCACGTTTACAGTTTCATCTCAAAAATAAGAAGCAAACCACATAAGTATAGGAGAGGTAAATTAAGTGGGGGCGAGGCAGTCGTGGACAGGGTTGGAAACTGCACTGGAAAATAGGGAACATGTGTATGTCATAAGGAAGGCAATGCAGCCCATCCCTACCTGGGATGCTGGGAGGTGCTAGGCAGGGCTGCTCTCAGCAAGACCACAGCAGCTGCACCCAGACCTGGGGCTCTGGTAGGTACCAATGGTGATTATGCTTCAATTTACCTAATGAATTTGGTGGGACAGAAGAAAGGAAAGCTGGGAATATACCCAGAGAAATTTTTGTTCAGGACTGTTGGAAGCAGATGTTAGCCTTGCTTGCTTCCACAAGGCCATTGCTGCTGTAATAAGAACTGCAAATCAGAGCACTACAACACAAAACTGGGAAATGTGGCCCTATCTGAATGCCTCTGTCCTGTTTTCCGCTGGTGTATTAGTGCAGGAAGTAAAGAATGCTGGAAAGTTGAAGCAGGGGATTGAAAACCTTCTGAAATCTTACACAGATTAGCAGAAGTCACTTCTCCCAGTCTGGTATATTATTTCATAATGGACCAGGATCGGCTTCCTGCTTGTTGGTGGCTATCTGTAAACCATAAGTACAGGGGTCTCCCTAGTGGTTCTTCTCTGTCTTTTGCTGGGCAGGCTGTCTTCCTTTATTCCTGGTAGCATTCAGAGCATTAACCAGTGTTGATTTTGAAAATAGTAGTCCCTACAGATTCTCACAAGGGAATGAATCCTGTTGGGATACAGTTCCCCTGCATACTGACATACTGGCCAAGGACTTGAGCAGCTGTGTATTTTTCTTTATTAACTAAAATACCAGGGAGATGGTCTTTTCTTGAAACCCGGTGGCCTGTGACTAGGAGGAAAAGCTGGCTTGGTCCTAATGGCTGTTTCTCTACCTTTCCCCTCCCTTATCACCTTAAGCCCAATCTAGGTAGAGAATAGGGAGAGGCATTCTCCTCTGTGTGGATTTGAAGTGAATCACCCCCACGTTATTCTCACGTGCTTTTCTTCTCTCACATATTCGTCCCTACCCCCCACCCAATCATTGTGCTTATTTGTACAGATCTTATTGGGAATATTCTTTATTTATTTTGTCATTTCACTTCTATTTTAAGAATGCATAATTGGAGAGTAGTCATTTTCAGGGAGCACCAGTTAGACCCTGGGAACCTAATGACTTAATCCTTAAATATGTTTTGCCCTTGAAAAATAGGCCTTTTCCTTCCCTACTTAGTTATAATTGTGGAAGCTAATTAGGATGGCATGGAAGTGAATCTAATGAGTTAGGTATTATTAATGTTCTTGGTATTGGGTCTAATTCCAATTACTGCTTCATTCTCTTTTTAGAGCTTTATGAATACTTCCCCCATCCTCCCCAAGGAGAGCTCAATACACACGTATTTTTATTTTGTTCTCTCAAAGGAATATTAGCTTAGGAAGATAGGAATTCAACATTAAGCAGTGAGTTTTCTTCCTGGCTCTGTCACTGATACAGTGTCAAACCACAGCCCCATCTCTTAATCTGTTCAATTAAGGTAATAGTGCATGTTCTCAAGGGTGTTGCAAATAAGTGTACAGCTATCCCTTTGAGAGCCTCTCTGGAAAGCCCTTTCAGTGCAGTGTTGTCATGCTGAATGGTTTTTCATTCTCTTATTTGCTGAGTAGAAAATATTAATGAAATTAAGAATTGCTGCGATTATATTAATTGGGCTGGAATACTAAGGGGGAAACTATGTTTTGAATTGAGTTTGGCATTTTTGACCAAGAACAAAATTGAGTTTTCATTGGAAAGAAAGGAAACCTTGATTCTTACCATTGCTGCTCCAAAGGAGGCCCAGGTTAAGAAGATTGGAGGAGACAAGCGGTGCTGGGCATTCCTGGCAGGTGTTGGGTGATCCCCGCAGTACGTCGCCTGCAGCTGCAGCACAGGCAGCTAGTGATCAGGTTCATCTCCTCGTAGTGGTTGGAAGAGAACTCAGATGTGAAAACCAGCCGTCCTTTTCCCACCTTCTTTCCTGCCATTCTCGCTCATCATACTTGTCCATAAACTTGAAGAACTCGTTTTAGCAGTTAGCCTTTTAAGGTCGAGGATGGGAAAGCTAAAACTTCAGAATATTATTATGCTGCTTTTTAGGTTTATCCCTGTTGTTGTGGGATGCAAGTTAAGGGATTATAATTGTTTTTCAGGGTTTTTTTGTTCTTTGTTTTTTAAGCAAGGGCTCTATTTTCCCTTGAGAGTTCTGGAAATAAGCCTTGGAGAAACACTACTGAGTGTATGTAGGCTCCCTGGTTTTCTCGCCCAACAACAATCTGAAGGGTAGGGGTGGGGGCTGTGTCTTACTCAGGGGCAGCACCTAGCTCTGTCTTGCCTACAGTGGGTGCACAATACATAAATGGAATTGATTTTTGTCAACACTGTCAAGAGTGGCATTGACTGTTGGAGCACACCCCGTCCACATGATGCTTGAACTATGTAACTTCAGGGGTTGAGGGCTCAAGGTTCAGGTTAAAGAGGCACTGTCAACTTACTGTACAAGCATAATTTAGGTTTTTCCTTTTTCTACTTGAAAAGGACCAGCTTAAACACAAACCCTTATGTGAATTAAAAGGTTTTAATCCAAAGCAGAGAAAACTGCTTCTAGAAACTAAAAGTGTAGTTTAATTTTAGCTATTCTAAAAGCAGTGAGAAAAGGCCCACGTACAAGGCATTGGCAATTTTCTAACGTGGTTATGCTGTGTATCTGGATGCATGCCTTTGGGCTGCCACTGCTTGATTCCTTTCATGTACAGATAATATTATTTCAGTTTAGATTTCCTACTTTAAAATGCCGTGATTTGTGTTGAATACATCTTGATTGTGCTTTACCTAAAGTATTTTCTTAAAAGGCTTTGTGTAAAATTTAAATGTATATATTTTCCTGTAGACTTCCATCATGATTTTCAGAGATTAGCCTTAAAAAATTTGGCCCTAAGAAACTCATTCAGTGTTTTTCTAGATGACCTCTGTACGTAGAGGTCGTTACAGTGGAGACCCTTTACCAGCAGCATTTTAGGATTTAAATTAGATGGAGAGTTTCTTAGGATTCAACTGAAAGTTGGCCAGTAAAATATTTCCCAGGTAATAAAGCATGCTGACTTTGCTAAGGCACTGCCCATTTTTGTTTAACTAAAGTCATGGAGATTTTGAGTTTAAAGGATGCAGTATAGATAGTGGTTTAGTGTTTAGGCTCTAATGCCGGTCTAAAAGGCAAGTCATTTAACTTTGGGAGCCTCAGTTTCCTCATTGTAAAACAGGGATAATAATAGTAACTACCTCAGGGTTGTTGTAAGGATTAAATGAGATGATATTTGTAAGATACTTAGCTCAAGTGCCTGGCACACAATGAGCACACTCTATAAATGTTAAACTGCTACTACTATTATTAACAGCCAGTCTAGGGATGCACAGCAGGATCCCCTAGGGGGAAAAAAAAACCAAACTGACAGAATAGCCCCCCACTCCACAGAATTCCCAGTGGACTGGGGTCTCGGCCAGTGTATTCTCCAGTGATCTCACCAGGTGTTTCAAACACCCACTGCTATCTGAAAACTATTAGTACCCCAACCCTTTTCTTTATAGATTAAGAAACTAGCAGAAGATGGTTCAGTAACTTGCCCATTGTCTCAACAGTTAATTAGTGGCAGAGCCAGGACTAGAATTCAAGTCTCTTGACTTTATGGTTGTGGGGTCTTTCCACCATACCTGCTGCCATGTGAGACACTGCAAAAAAGTGGCTCAGAATGACAATCAGCCTGTGTGGTGTTGCACACTTTGTAAAGCACATGCTCCTGACACTCTGACCTTAAGGGATTTGAATGTGGAGTAATGGGGACACGAGCAAAGCAAGCACTCAGTAGAATTCAGTCATTTAAACAATCATATGGGGTCATTCTTTTGGACAGACCTCAGCAACACAGCAATGTGCACTTTGTAGTAAAGAAAACCAACTTGAGTTGTTAAAAAACCTAGTTAGTCCTACATTCCTTTTTCTTAAAAAAAACTTTATTGTTCACATTGTTTTAATAACTATGAGATAATGTATATGAGAGCACTTTGAGAAAATATCAACTGTAATATAACTATAAGGTGGTAGTATTGTCTGTTTAAAAGATAAGACAGTTGATTCAATGTGAATGGACCCTGTGGGGGACCTGAAAATGCAGATATGTAAGAATCACCTCTGTCCTGTATCACAGTTAGAAATATGAAACTGCTTAACGAATATGAGCAGGTGTAGCAAGTGTTTTGCTGAAGTTGTAGTTCAGAGCTGAATTACTTCAGGGAACTAGGGACCAACTTTTTGGTTTAATTCCGATCTTTAAAAAGTAAGAATGTGTACTCACTCCAGAACACAGAAGCTCTTCCAGGGACCTTGACTCAAGAAGGATGAGGCCCTCTTCTCCATTTGTCCACTATATGCTTGGCCATTTATCCTAAATGTGGTGGGAGCAGACTTGTTATCTGTTGATGTTGACAGTGTCTTTTTTAACCTATGTCCTGCATAGTATTGTTAGGTTTACAGGGGGAAGTGGATGGCCATAAAACCAGTGCACTCTGGGAATTACTTTTCTAGGATTTCCTACCAGTTATAAATGACATTGACATTTGTCATCTATCTTTTTTTTTTTCTTTTTCTAAAAAGAGTAGCTGAATTTAATTCACCTATTATAAAATACTTGAAAGGAAATTGCATTGGTGGCCACTTTTGAATGATAGTTACATTTCATGATGACCCCTCCTGCTCCCTTCCATTTTGCTACTGATGTCATTGTTATTATCAGGCTGTGCCCCTACCAGGAGTTCATATTGGGTTGACGGGGTTATCTGTATTTTTGTTCTTGATTTTTGAGTTTCATCGTCTTGCATTAAATTGTTCCCCCTGGATTTGGGGTTCATCTCTGTGCCCTAAGGATCTGCTATGACCAATCCTCTTTTTGTAGGTGGGTCTCTGTCTTAAGTATTGATAGGCTTCAGCGGTTTGTATCTCTGTCTTAGCTTATATCAAGCCAGTAGTAGCTCACTTCCTTTGTAAATGCCTACTTCAGTCTGGAATCTGTAGGAGTATGTGAGAACTTCTGAAACGTCTCCCACTCTTTAACAGTCAGGATATCTATATCATTTGGATAGAGTTCCGGTTTTCCAACTACTAGACTTTTGCAAGGCTTGCTTCCCGCTCCCCAGCCAGTAGTAATCATTATTGTTACTTGCTCTGTTCAGCACAACGGTGGTTCACTTGAACTTCACTGTCATTCCCTGTGCTCCTCTCTTACTGGGAAGTGTGGGTAGGATTCAGGGCTGTGGGCGGGCCGCGCCTGCTCCGGAGCGCTCACCCCCAGAATCCTAGTCCAGCCTGTCTTTTGGGAAGTTTATTGCAATGTCCACAAGGATGAATTTCTGCTTTTCATGCCACCTCTGTGAGGTATGTATTCTATCTTGAGTATGTACAAGATGATACCTTTTGGCCGGGCTTGGTGGCTCATGCCTGTAATCCCAGCACTTTGGGAGACCAAGATGGTCGGATCACTTGAGGTCAGGAGTTTGAGACCAGCCTGGCCAACATGGCAAAACCCCATCTCTACTAAAAATGTAAAAATTAGCCAGGTATGGCAGTACACGCCTGTAATCCCAGTTACTCCCGAGGCTGACGCAGAAGAATTGCTTGAACCCAGGAGGCGGAGGTTGCAGTGAGCTGAGATTGCGCCGCTGCACTCCAGCCTAAGTGACACAGTGAGACACATCAAGAAAAAACAAAAACAAGATGATACCTTCATTTCTGACTCAATATCCTAGATCCAAAGGACAGGAAATTAGGGAAGACTTCACCCTGTGGGATCAGGATAAAAAGATCCCATACTCCTCCCCAGGTAAGGAGGCCTTGTGGCAGATCATGATTGAAAGCTGACTTGGAATGGCAGAAACTGCTGAGAGGCCACCCTTGGAGATTTGTGCCTTCAAAGATAGGTTTCATGAGTCTTACAGAGGAAAAACTCGTCAGCTGGGTTGATTTTGCATGATTATTGAACGAGAACTGGTAGAAACGAGCTTCTCAGGTGGCAGTGGCCAGAGCCTCCATCTGTGAGAATCCCCCACTTGAAGTGGTTTCCTGAGAGTGCTCACTCAGCAATGGCTGCGTTTCTCAAGCCCACCTGCGAGGCCTCACTGGACGCTTCCCTCCAAGTGCACTTACTTCTTCATCCCCATGTACATCTCTAACTTTGAAATTGTTTACCTCTCCTAGAAAAATCTTACCTTTTACCCTGAGCAGAGTAGCAAAGCCCTGTTCACTCAGAGGGAGCAGCTGGCATGTTGAAGGGGAAAGGCCAGGCACAGCAGTGTCCTCAGACCACCCCATATCTGGAGCAGAATTGTGATACATGTCATCTGTGTCTGTTCTGGAAGATTCTTTGTTCATCATTGTACTCGCATCAGCAGATTTTCAGGGTCCTCCTTGTCACTCCAGGCTACTGAGCTGAACCCTTAGAAGCTGGGGTCTCCGAGCATGCTAAGTAACCTTTTAGGACACGCTGGAGGCAAACTGTGGAATGCTAGCAGGCTTTATGAAAGGAAATATAGGGAGTTTGTGTAGTCGGAACTTGCTTAGATTTGCTTCTGAATCTCAGAGCGGGAGTTTTAAATCATGTAATTAGGCACCATCAACTTTAGCTGGAGAATGGGACTTAAATGTTCACATATATGTATACTTAATTTTCAGCAATTATAGCACAACAAAAAATATGCAAATTTATTGTTTTAGAAGGTATTGCAGGACTAGGAACGCTTTAGGGTCATCAACAGTAAACCTCAGATACTGTTCTGCATGATTCAGAAGTACCATACCAGGTATTGTGAGTGGCAAGAAGGCCAGGAGACAGAGATGCTTCTGGTAGATGAGGGCCAGAGAAACCAGCTCTCCTCCATTTGACAGCAATTTTTCACTGTGGCCACTTGGACTCCATTATGTTTTGAGAGGGATTTATTGAGATCTTGAGAAATCACCATGATTAGGATGATTGTCAATTAGTATTCAGAAACTAGAAAGGAACAATGAGATACTCATTGTATGGTTCTTTAGGGCATATGTTTGAAAACCCTCTCATCTCAGATCTGTATAGCTGGCATGCGTTTGTGTCCGCAAGTGCACATGCACTGCCGTCGTGCCCATTAAGAAAGGGGGAGTAAGTAAAAGAGGAATCACTCAGATCTTTCCTTGGGTGAATAGCGGTGGTGTGGTTGGTGTGTTGACTGTGAACAGGCTGACTTAGCTGTTGATGCATACTCAGAACCCCCATCTCCTCCCAGACTCTGCACTTTTCCTTCTCTGCAGTCAGATTCTCTAATGACTGTCACTGGACAAACCCGTTTGATGCTTGCTTAGTAAAAATAAGTTTAAACATTTCATGGTGGTTGACAGAGCTTTGTCCCAAAACATGCGGATTCAGATTCTTTAAAACTCGTTGAACATTTATACCAAAGGTCCCGCCCTGCAGGTGTGTATGTGGTGCACAGAGAGTGGGGTTTGGAGCATCGGGCACTGTGTGCATTGCTAAGGGGACATAGTGAGACAACGTGGGATTTTAACTAAAAACACATCAGTCGTGGGCCACGCTACCAGTGTTGTCAGGTATTTGTTCTTCATTGTTGTTGTAATATATTTTCCGTTGTTTTTCTAATTTAATTCTCTCCCTCTGTTGTCTGACTGTGAACTGCTAACAGTGTTAAACTTGATGTAAATAAATGAGGCCCTTGAAAGGGACTGCTCTCTCTGTCTTCTCACAAGGTTTGCCAAGTTGTGTTTTGTTTTAAATAAAGGTTGCAATATTTTATTTGCAAAGTAGGCTGGAGATTGGAGTGTTTCTCCCATGATTTCAGTTGACAGGGAATCTAAGCAGCATTTCTTTCTCTCTACGTAATACGGATGTCTATAAGGTAAAGAAGCTGCTTTTAGCAAGCAGCCCTCTGGCACGTTCTTTAGAATGTCCTCTGTGGGGGTGAATACTCATCCGTTGATGGATTACATTTTTGGAAGTGAACAAAAGGCATCATCTGGAGTCCAGGCTGCTGTGCATAAGGTGGGTAATGTGTTTGTATGTGTGTCTTCAACATGAAGCGACTGTCAAGTGAAATTTAATTCTCTCAAAATCCATTCTGAGGACAACTCCAAGTAAGTTCTAAGTGTTTTGAGTCAATGTAGCATTTATAGAGTGGGTGTAGAACCCCACAGGATAACGTTCCATTCTGGTTGATGTGGTCTTCAGTTTTTTATGAATGAGTTACTGCTTTTAGAAGTAACCTTAACTAGGTATGGGTAGAATATACACAAGTTGTGCATACATGAGGCCCAGTTAAACTGGCTGGTAAGCAGCAGTTTATACACCTCCTCACATTCCACCTTCAGTCCTTTTCTCCCACTCATTTTTGGTTGTCTAGAAAGTCTTGTTTTTAGAATCTTCCAAGAATCTCTCAATGTGATTTAACTTACAATTTTTTTTTTTTTTTTTGAGATGGAGTTTCCTTTCGTTGCCCAGGCTGGAGTGCAATGGCATGATCTCGGCTCACTTCAACCTCTGCCTCCCGGGTTCAAGCAGTTCTGCTGCCTCAGCCTCCCAAGTAGCTGGGACTACAGGTGCGTGCTACCATGCCCAGCTAATTTTTGTAGTTTTAGTAGAGACAGGCTTTCACCATATTGGCCAGGCTGATCTCGAACTCCTGACCTCAAGTGATCCACCCACCTCGGCCTTCCACAGTGCTGGGATGAGTTCGCCCACTGCCTAGACAGAGCCAGTTTATCAAGACAGAAGAATTGCAATGGTGAAAGAAGAATTCACGCAGAGCTGGCTGTGCCAGAGACCGGAGTTTTATTATTACCCAAATCAGTGTCTCAGAAAATGGGGGGGTCAGAGTTTTTAAGGATAATTTGGTGAGTAAAATCATGGAGAATCGAAGCTGTTCTCTTCTGCTGAGTCAGTTCCTAGGTGGGGGCCACAGAACTGGTTGGCAGGTCCAGGTGGGGCCATCTGGTTGTTAGAAATGAAAAACCTGGAAAGACATCAAAAAGGCCAATCTTAGGTTCACAATAGTGACATTAACCTTCAAGAGTAATTGGGGAAGTTGCAAATCTTATGACCTCCAGAATAATGGCTGGTAAGAATTCCAGTTCCTCTCATCTTGGCTTAGTGGCCTTTCATTTGTTTTACAAGAACGGTTTAGCCTTTTTGGGAAGGGCTATTTAAACAAACTATACACAAAAATCCTTCCCAAAGCTAGTTTGGCCTATGCCCAGGAGTGAACAAGGACAGTTTAGAGGTTAGCAACAAGATGGGGTCAGTTAGGTCTGATATGTCACTCATAGTTTTCTCAGTTTATGATTTTTGCAAAAGCGGTTTCATAGGCACTTTATAAAAATGAACTCATGTCATCCAGCGACCCTATGAGGTAGGTACGGTTATGCTGGAGTGGACACGGAGGCTAAACTGCTTTCCCGTGGCCTCACAGTGGTAAGTGGTGAAACCATGGCTCCAGCCCTGGCAGTCTGGCTCCGGAGAATGTGTTTGGAACCACTATATTCTGCTGCTTGTCCTGGTTCCCCAGGTGGGAGGTTCAGATCCTCTGTTTATGACGCCAAACACAGCAGGCCAATGCTGGAACGGATGCCACCTGTTCTGTCTCTGAGACTTACCCTTTAACAAGTGTGTTCAGTGCGTTTAGAGCCTGGTGTGCAGTAGCATCGGGTGGCTTGCATCTTCTGGGATGCTCGAGACGAAAAACCTGTAAGTAGCTAACACTGGCTCCATCCGATTGTATAGTTAGGCTGAGTCCACTTTTATCCCTTGAGTGGTATGAAACTAAAACCCTTTTATTTCATTGATTTGAATATTTGAGTACCTAATGTGGCTCAGGGTAGGTACTTTCTAACCTTGAGGCAGTTGAGTAAATGAGCACAATAAACTGTTCAATGTGGAAGAGACAGAAGTGTTTCATTTGATAAGAACTAAAGGAGAGAGGGTTGAGGAAGGCTTTTTGTTTTTTGAGATGTAGTTTCACTTGTCACCCAGGCTGGAGTGCAATGGTGCGATCTCAGACCATTGCACCCCCCACCTCCCGGGCTCAAGTGATTCTCCTGCCTCAGCCTCCCGAGTAGCTGCGACTATAGGCTCATGCCACCACACCTGGTTAATTTTTTTTAATAGAGACGGGGTTTCACCAGCTTTGCCAGGCTGGTCTTGAACTCCTGATGTCAGGTAATCTGTGAGGAAGGCTTAAATTAAGAAAGCACACGAGATGATAAAAGAAAGAAAAGGCTAGGCACAGTGGCTCATGCCTGTAAGCCCAATACTTTGGGAGGCTGAGGCAGGAAGATAGCTCAGGAGTTCCAGACCAGCCTGGGCAACGTAGTGAGCCCCTGACTGTGTGTGTGTGTGTGTGTAATATGTAAAAAACAGGGAAAAAGGAAGGGGAAAGGCACATAATGAACACTGTTTAGGCACAATGCTACATGTCTACACGGTGCCATTTAATCCTCAAAAATGACTGCTTTTCTTTTTACAGCTGAGAGTACAGGAGTGAACATTTTCACATGTAAGAGCAATGTGCTGTGGAAGCCTCTTCAGTAGGAGGTTGGCATGACTTGGTTCCACCGATGCAGTCCCAAAGCAAACTGACTAGATGGGCAGACCAGCCACATACCCTGCTAGCTCCATGTGTGCCAGCATCCACCCTGTCTCTGCCAGGCCTTATCAGGATTATCAGGTTTGAAATTTTGCTAGGTCTCAGAAACAGTAAGAAAGTAGGCCAAGGATTTTAGAAAAATCAAAAATTTTAATCTTTACATTAACACGTCAAGACCCCCAATTGTCTTTGAAAAGGTTCCCCCCTCCCCCACCAAAATCTGTAGACCATAAGTCTTGGCCTACACTGACCTGATTTGTAAAACACCTTCCTCTGTGTACTTTTCCCTTCAGCCTCAGACTCTTGGCTGATTGCTCACAACAGAAGCAGCCCGGCTTTCCTCTGGGAGTACCAATTTGAAAGCCCACCAGCCCGTAAACCTAGAGTGTACTCGCCACTCCTGGGTCACAGAACTTCGTTCTCCCCAGCTCTCTAACCCAAGGACTCTACAGCCTTTGAGGCCCAACACCCAAGCTCTTCCTTGCAGAAGAGCTGAGATGCTAAGGAGACCATCTGGAGTGTCATAATAAGCCTTTGGGATTTGCTGAGCTCCCACACGCCTGTCTTCAACCACCTGGCCCACTTTCTTCAAGCACATTCCGCTTTGGAATGCGTGTCTTTAAGGCACCAAGTGATCTTAAGAATGGGGTCTGTTTTTGAATCTAGCAATCCAAGTTCCTATCTCGGTGGGACCTCAAAAAAAAAAAAAAAAAAGGAAAAAAAAGAAAAAGGATTGGCTCAGCTTCTAATGTAAGGCCTGCCTTTTACACACCAGTTGTGTGTTAGTGACTGCTGGATGCCAGTCCACAGCCCCTCAAACAGCTCACAGTCCCAAACAGGGTGCTCCTACAGGTCCCAGGGTCCTGTTAGTGGAAGAAAGGGAGCTCCAGGAAGTCTTCCTCTAGCCTTCATGACAGGAAGTAGTTAATCCTCTGGGAAATAGACTTGCAGCCCTGGGAAGAAAAGAGTTGTTCCTCCTTGGGGACATACACCATCATCTGGGCAATTTCATCCAGTGTCTCTTCTGTATACAGGAGCTCCTGGCTCAGGAAGGCATCCCGTGCACACAGCCTCACGTGACGGTACTCCAGTGGCAGGAAGGGGATGAAGTAGTCAATCAGGTTTTCCTTCACAAGACGGCTGTGGCCAAAGCCACTGTCTGAAATCAAGACCAAAGTTACATGGAGTCTGACCTAGGACTGAACTTAGCTGGAATTTAGAGGGGGGTGGGGGGTTGCTGTTTGTTTCTTTTAAACAGGGGCTTGCTCAACCAGGCTGGAGTACAGTGGTGCGATCTGGGCTCCTTGCAGCCTCCACCTCCTGGGTTCAAGGGATCCTCCCATCTCAGCCTGTGAGTAACTGGGACCACAGGCGCACACCAGGTACCTGGCTGTTTTTTGTATTTTTTGGAGAGAGGGTTTCACCATGTTGGCCACGCTGGTCTAGATCTCCTGGACTCAAGTTAGCCGCCCGCCTCAGCCTTCCAAAGTGCTGGGACTACAGGTGTGAGCCACCGCACCTGGCCCCAACTGGAGTTTTAAGGTGCCCCCAAACTGAAGGGCTGGGTGAGGTTGGATCTCTTCTCTCAACTCTAGGAGTGCTGTCTGCAGTATGTGTCAAGAACTCTGCAGCTGTGTCTCCTTTAGGGAAAGTCTTGAAGTGAGACTCAGAGTCTCGGGCTTCAGAGACCACTGCGCCTGTTCTTGGGGCCCGTGCAAACTCCTCTTCCAAGTATTTCCAGAAAAGGAGCTCAGGCACTTTTCTTGTGCCTACCCAAGGTTGACAATGTGAGATGATTATGGGCCGCCCTCTGTGTTCCCAAGTACCCTATCTACCTCATAAACACACATTCCAACAAACAAATTAATTATCACCAGCTGTGGCTCTCACCAGAGGCATACTGAGTCACTTACTTACCTGTGGTCTCCACAATCTCTGCCTGGAGGTGGGGCTCCAGGTGTTCCATCGTAATTTCTTCCCGGGACCATCCAGCCTTGAGCAACTTTAGGATCACCTCATTGATTATATCGCCCCTGAGATTACTGAAAGAGACAAGAGCTTGTTAACCCATTTCTTTATATTTAGCTTCCATATATGTTATCTCACCGCTGAAACCAATGCATTGGTGCCTGGAAGAATAGAGGCTGAGGGGCGTGGACCTCTCTCTTCCAGGAGACCTTGTCACAACCTCACAACCTAAAGGTCTGCACAGAAGACACTGTCCAGCTTTGCCACCCATTCTCTCTTGTTCCCTTCTGACGCACACTTACTGAGACTGTGCTAAGTGCAGGGAGCGTGAAGATGGTAAGATGTGGTTCTTTACTTCTGTGTGGTCTGAGGGGCATCCGTGTATTCGGTTCCAGGACAGTGTGGCAAGCGCTAATGGAGGAGTGAGTGAGTTCTAAGGAGAAGGCTTCAGAGGGAGGACGAGGCTTCTGAGCAAATAAAGAACAATTAGTGACCATCAGACACTTGACAAGGAAGTGATGTGTCCAGGCCTGGGTGCGCCAGAGGAGCATAGGCATGAAAGGTTGGCCAAGGCTAGGGTGAGAAGGCCTTTATCTGCCATGTACATGGACTTGAGCTTATGGACCATGGAGAAGGGATGGAAAGGAGGATTTAAGAATTAGTTATGGAGGCACAATTGAAAAACCCTGTAACTGACAGATGTGAGAAGTGAAAGGAGGTCATGAAACAACAAGTGTTAGCCTCAAGCTGCTTGCTGTCCCCCTTAACAGAGGTGGAACATGGAAGGGTAGAGATGAAAGCCTGGTTTTACACACATTTGAGTGTTTTTTGCTTGCCTGTGATCTCTCTCAGGTTGTGCTATCACTGGGCAACTAGAATTACGGGTGTGAAGCACAGAAAGCAATTTGGGTTAGAGACAGGAGGGAGAAAGGGGATAGGGAGAGAAGAGCAACCGTAGAGCCACCAGCAGGCAAGCTGGGACAGAGGTGGTGGAGACGTGGACCTCCTCCGTCCTCCCCAGCCCAGGCGTACTTCTCCCCCACCTCACTGAGCTGTCCTCCCTCCCTGGGCTGCAGCCTCTGCCAGCTCCACCAGCTCCTGAAACCGAGGCCTTGCCCAGCTCCACATCAGTGCACTCGCACTTCCCTGTGCTTTCTCTCTTTGGAGACGGAGTCTCATTGTGTCACCCAGATTGGAGTACAGTGGTGTGATTTTGGTTCACTGCAGCCTCAACCTCCCCAGGCTCAGCTAATCCTCTCACCTCAACCTCCTAAGTAGCTGAGACTGCAGGTACATGCCACTCTACCCAGATTTTTTTTTTTTCTTGAGACGGAGTTTCACTCTTGTTGCCCAGGCTGGAGTGCAGTGGCATGATCTCAGCTCACAGCAGCCTCTGCCTCCTGGATTCAAGAGATTCTCCTGCCTCAGCCTCCCAAGTAGCTGGGATTACAGGCACGTGCCACAATGCCCAGCTAATTTTTGTATTTTTAGTAGAGACAAGGTTTCACCATACTGGCCAGGCTGGTCTTGAACTCCTGCCCTCAGCTGATCTGCTCGCCTCAGCCTCCCAAAGTGCTGGGATGACAGGTGTGCCTGGCGCTATTTAAAAAAATTTTTTTTTGTAGAGACAAGGTCTCACTATGTTCCTCAGGCTGGTCTCGAACTCCTAGGCTCAAGTGATCCTCCTACCTCAGCCCCCCTTGCGTTTTCCTCAGGTCCAGTAGAATGAGGTAGGGTAAAGGACAGGGAAGGCAGGTGGCAGGTTAAGGAGTGGGGAACCAGTATCTCCATCTCTTTCCCTCCTTACCCGGCTCTGAAAGCCCCCATGACACCCACCAGTATATTAACTCACATCTTTGCTCATTTAGCCTGTGACCACACCCTGTTGTTCCATGGGGGCTCCTGGGAAGTGAGGGGAGCTGTGTGGTTCTCTCCCTCCCTGCCTCCGCCATTGGGTAGACGCTAAAGCTGGGCAGGCATCCTTCCCTGCCATGCAGGTAAGCCCGGACTGCCAAGTTGTCCAACTGGGTGCCTCATCATAGGGGGAGGTGTCAATGTGTTTTTCACAACCAGAATTTACCAGGGGCTGAGAGCTCCCAGCTGGAGGAGCCCGGCAGGAACAAGGGCCATCTGCAGTGCTTGCTCAAGGTCAGTTGCTCAGCCAGGCTTCCCCCGAGAAGCAGCTCACAACACACTTCCACTTGCCGACACTGCCGCTGCTGCAGGAAGGCCTTCCAGGCACATACCTGTGCACACAGGAGCAGCCGCCATTGCATAAGCTGAGGTAAGAGTCTGCTGCCAGGGTGTTGGCCCATCCTGCATTCCCCACAGGAGGCAGGTAGCACTGTTTACCTTGGCAGAGGCTGAAGGCAGGATCTGGGATGCTGTGAAACCCCACAGTGATACTCCCTCACCCCGGCCCAGGGGCACGGACTCCAGGGCCTTCTCCATCCTGTAAGGTGCTGATGCGGGTAAAGAGAGGTCCCATCACATGGGGCAGGAAGCTGGGCCTATTTATTTCTGTAACCTCAGTGCTTTGCACATATCAGGCACACGGCCTTTAGTAAATAAAGGGACATCTCTGCACATGTGTCTGCACCATCTCTACCCTTCTCAAGCTCTCCTGTTTTGTCTCACAGCCAAAGTCCCTTTTCTTCCACCACTTTACAGGCTTTAATCTCACCCACCGACCCATAACCTGGGGTCCCTCTCTATGCGCCACCCCTCCCGTCTTCAGGATCGCCACTCCAGCACCAGCATTCTACCTTCAGACAGACACTGTCTTCCCGGAGCACCTCAATTCCCTTCCACAGCCACCTGCGTCACTGGGAAGTCTGGAGGAGCCAGAAGGCACCTCTCTCAACCAGCCCTCTCCCCTGCCTCCAGCCCCTGCCAGGGCTGATCTCACCAGCCTTATCCCTAAGACCCCAAAGGAAGGGGACTTAAGGCCTCACCGGAGAGAACTGGTGGTTACTGGTAACAAACCCCATGCTAACTGCTCTGTCTTTCCTAAAGAACAGACATAGACTCGATCATCTCTTTGAGCCTTAGTGTCCTCATTTATAAAGTAAGGACTGGACCAATCTAAGCTGTCCTCTCGTTAGTCAACAGGCAGCCAACAGACACGGGGCTGGGGCGCAAGGCCCACGACTCCACGAATAATTTCTATTTGTGTAGTTCTATAATTTTTCAAAGTCCTTTCTTTCCTTTTCCTGACAACAGCACAAAGGAAACAGGCTTTAATTACCCTAGTCACTTTACAGCTCCCATGAGAACAGGGCAGCAGCTCCGATCGCAGAGTTCCACGTTCCTGTCCTGCCGCGTGAGCCCATTCTTGCAGCCTTCTATATTTGCCAGAAGTGGGCGAAGTAATGTTACTTTTCTGATGCCCAGCCACCGGCCCCGATTCCCTGGCCTGGATGAAGGACAGGCTCTGAGCACCACACTCAACTCCCTGCTTCAGCTCCCACCTCCTCTCTCCTGCCACCAGGGGGAGGCCAGCAAAACCACTGGCGACTCACTTCAAATGGCAGGTTTAGGATTTATTTCAGAATTAAACTGCTGCTCTTCCCACAGTGTGACTTGGTCACTCTAGCAGTTTGAATCAGCTGTGCTTTTCTCTCATGCCCTAGAATCCTTATTACAAGGGATGATTAATTGAAGCTCATTATAGAGATCAAGTCCAGAAACTCCAATATCAACACAGTGTCTCCTCCCAGCCATTGCCGGACTACCTGAGAACCTCAGAGGTTCAGAGGCTGCCACCCTGGACAGCCTGGGGACAGACTATGTCGGCACATCTAGATGTGTATAAGAGACAGGGCTGGAGGGGGGACCTCTGGCTCGTAAAGGCTGGGCACAGGCCCACACCAGAGCCACTAGAACCCAAGGCCACATCTTTTTAATCTGTCCTTTACATCCTTGTCAGTTACGCATCCTCCTCCCTGGAGCTCAAAGGCTCCTGGGAGACCTCCCCACCCTGCTGTGGCATGGAGGAGTCTGGCAGGCGGCTTTCCCGCAGGCCCCGCCCCATGCCGCCCACAATCACGTGGCCTCGGACAGTCCACCAAGGCTGGGTCACGGGGAGAAAGGCCAGGCGGCTGGTGAGGGGCTGGAGGGTGCTGCCGTCGGGTCGACGGCCAAAATACTACAAAGGCTAACATTTGCCTAGAGACTGCAAGGTCACCGGGTCGCATTAGGCAATCATGGCCCAGGTGAGGTTTTCCAAGCTGAGAAGTGGGTGGGAGAGTCTGTGTGGCTGGCACCACCTGAAGCCGGGAGACCCCTGACAGGGAAAGGGAGGAGGAAGACACTCAGTGCAAGAGAGATCCCTGTGGAAGCGAAAGGGAGGCCTGAGGCTGGGTCACCACGCTTCGCTCCGTGCCGTGGGAAGGACTGGCTTCCACATCAGTGGTTCAGAGGGTCCCCTGACTCCCCAACCCAGGGCTCAAGGGGAGAAACCACAGAGCACCCAGGTGACTCCTCTGTTTGGGCTCATATGCATGTTGCAGCCTCCACCTGACTCCCTATAACAGGAGGAGAGGTGAGCCCGGCTGCCTCCGAAGGTGGGAAATAAACAGTACAGAACGTGGGGATAAAAACTAATTAGAAGAATGTACTGTCCTCACCTCCTGGTTCTGGGCACTCAAATCATGCAAGAGAGCTCTCTCTTTAAAAGTCACCCTGGGCGCCCCGCTCCCCTCCCACTTCACAATGCATTCTAAGTCTCCACAGCTTCACCTACAGACCAGGAAGGCTGCCTGCCACCACACAGAAATCCCAAGTCAGCAATGGTTTAAACCTGTTTCACTTTTTTTTTTTTTAAGAGACAGTGTCTCTCTCTTGTTGCCCAGGTTAGAGTGCAATGGCATGGTCTCAGCTCACTGCAACCTCTGCCTCCCAGGTTCAGGTGATTCTCCTGCCTCAGCCTCCCTAGTAGCTGGGATTACAGGCGCCTGCCACTACACCCAGCTAATTTTTGTATTTCTAGTAGAAACAGGCTGGTCTCGAACTCCTGACCTCAGGTGATCCACCCGCCTCAGCCTCCCAAAGTGCTGGGATTATAGGCGTGAGCCACCGCACCTGGCCCGTTTCAGTTCTTCTTGTGAATCCACACTGAAACAAGATGTGCCCTCCACAGCTCACCCCTTCACCCCTCCACACTCCCCAAGCTAGGATGAAAATCAGCATCTCCCCACCAACTTCCCCATCCTCACAAAGTGCACCCTGCAGCTTGGGAAAACCCCCCAGCAAGCAAGTGCTGGCCTGGGGAAGGCGAGGTCGGAGTGGAGCTGGGAAGAAAGCACTTGGTTTGACTCCCACCGAGGCTCGAGCTATTGTGAAGCCTTCGAATTGGGTCAACAAGGACCCAAACTCAACTTGTAACAGACGCAGGACTCCCCCAGTTGGAGCCTCTGCAAAAAGATGAGGTTGGACAAGTTATTTCTAAGTTGTCTTCCCGCAAAGACATGTCAACAAAAGCACAGGACCCACAGTGCCGTGATTCAGTGACTGGGTCCTGCGTGGCAGTGTCACAACTGAACTACAGGTACTCAGAGGAAGCATGGGTTTCTCTCAACCCGTATGCCCTGGATTTTAAGCCAGTGATGACTTCTCATGATTGGAGCAGAAATAGACCTTCCAAGGCTGGAGGAAGAAATGGCCGTGTTGGACTTGATGGGAGACTATGCCGTTCTCTAACCAGGCTTGCCTTGGGAATTTGTTTCAAAAAATCTGTCACCCAGATTGGAGTGCAGTGGCCCGATCTCAGCTCACTGCAACCCCCACCTCCTGGGTTCAAGCGATTCTCCCACCTCAGCCTCCCGAATATCTGGGACCACACATCACCACGCCCAGCTAATTTTTGTACTTTTTGTAGAGATAGGGTTTCGCTGTGTTGCCCAGGCTGGTCTTGAACTCCTGGACTCAAGGGACCCGGCCACCTTGGCCTCCCAAAGTGCTGGGATTACAGGCGTGAGCCATCACAGCTGGCTGCTGCTTTCTGTACCAGAGTTTGTGCTGTTTTTTCTTGAGGAAAAGGTTCTGAACCTGGGGGCGTGTGGAAGCCTCCACTGCCAGCTAGTATCTTCCCCTCCCCCAGCCCTCCTGACTACTGTTCCCCAGAACCCACCTGAGAAACAGAAAGATAGTCCATGTAAACTCGGCCCTGTGGCCCTCAGGGGCCCGGCGTTCTAAGTGTGGCTCAAGGACCTCCAGCAGCCCTGGGTGTAGCTTCTCGGCCTCATCGAAGATGAACAGGGTCTGGTGGCAGAGCTGCTGCGTCTCCCGGATCTGGCCCATCAGCTGCTCCTGCATGGGATATAGGGAGCAGCTGGGGAACTGGCGACTCCTTCCACCTCTGGCCTTGAGGGCGTGGTTTCCCCTGGGCATGTGCAGTGGATTCCTTGGGGCTGGGTTTCACCCCCTCGAACCTATCAAATCCAAGCTCTGGGGGAAGGCCTAGGCCATTTGCATCTGACCAGCTCTCAGGTGATTCTCAAGCACCCTGAGGGTTGAAAGCTAAACAAGGTGAAGCCAGCCTGGGGACTAGGAAAGAGCCTAGAAAGGAGTGGGGAGAAGCCCTTCTGCCCTTGAGAAGGGGCCCCTGCTCCAGCCCTGCTTTCTCCTCTCCAGGACTAGGTCCCATCCCGGAGCTAATAATGTCCACACTGCCTGCAAAATTTCATTACTTCTACAACAAAAAAATCCAGGCGCAACTTCCCTGTTTAAGCTCGGGGGTCTATTCCCAGGGGGTGGGTAGGAGTTGGGCTTTAACACAGGGGTGATGGGCAAGGAGAGGCTCCTGTGCCTAGAGGCAGTCACAGTCCCCTGCCCTGAACTCCCGGGTGCACAGCGCCCACGGGCACCCTGGCTGGGCCGAGATCTCAGGGGGGAAGCCTGCTGAAGGACTCACTGGGCCCAACCAACATCCGACTTCGCTCCTGCAAGGGGCTGTGGAGGGTTCTTTGTCCCAGGCAAGATAGTAAACCCTCAAGTGAAAAGATGGTTCTTTGCAATGTTCATCAAAATGGGCAGGGAATATATTATTCAGGCCCAGCTCCCACCCCAGAGCCCACACTCCTGTCTACTGGGTGCACCTGTGTGGGGGGAAGTGTGAGGTGTAGGGCTGTGCACATGCCAGTTTTCAGAGCGGGGAAGCTGGGGCTGCAGCAGTTTTGCCACAGTCTAAGCCAAATAGTTCTTCCTGGAGAGGCCAGCTCAGCCTGCCCCTGCCCTCCAAAGCCATATGGAAACTGCCAGGAGACGTGGGCAGTCTCTGTCCTCAGACACTGACATCATCTTCCCAGGTGAACACATCCCAGATATCAGAACAGAAAGCCAAAGACAGGTGCAGCCATTTCTGTCAGGCTCTTCTGGTATGTTTTCAATACTACATGGCTGAATTAGTAGAAGAAACCCAAACGGGCAGAACAGCCAAGGAAATTTCTGTCCATCCACTTGCTGTTATATAATAAGCCGATACGGGACGACGTGGAAAATCATATAAGATAGGATAGGCCTGTTTTTTTTTGAGACGGAGTCTCACTCTGTTGTGCAGTGGCGCGATCTCGGCTCACTGCAAGCTCCACCTCCTGGGTTCACGCCATTCTCCTGCCTCAGCCTCCCCAGCAGCTGGGACTACAGGCGCCCGCCACCGCGCCTGGCTAATTTTTTGTATTTTTAGTAGAGACAGGGTTTCACCGTGTTAGCCAGGATGGTCTCGATCTTCTGACCTTGTGATCTGCCCACCTCAGCCTCCCAAAGTGTTGGGATTACAGGCGTGAGCCACTGCGCCCAGCCAATAGGCCTGTTTTTTAAAAAGGCAGGATATGCCACTCTCTGTCCAATGTAGTTACAATGACAGCCTGGGGAAACGTTCCGCACCAAAGGCAGCACATAAAATGCTAACTCTCCTTAGTTGACAAGGGTGTGCCCATGTGGACAGTCCGATAGTTTTTGCTTTTCTCTGTTCCACACTGCCTGTGACATTTCAATACTTCTACAACAAAAATCAACATGCAGCGTCCCTGCTTAAGTGCAGCGTCCAGCCTCTCGAGTGTGACTATTCAGGGGACAGAGCAGTGGGGGGTGTTTGGAACGCCAGTCCCCACCAGATGCTCAGGGCCTCTGTGAGGAGCGGACCGAGTGAGTAGCTCTGTCACAGGTTCTGCCACCTGTCCCCACCTCCCCAGGCTTCTCCAGAGCCCACTTCCTTGCAAGGAAGGGCTGGCAGAAGGGTCTTCCTCCCAGCACAAAGGCCTCACCCCAGCTCTGGTCGGCCTCACCTTGTACAGGTCCACATATTTGCGGTGAGGAAAGTGGAACGTGGCGATGAACATCCTGACACAGTCACTCATCAGCCCATCCCGATACAGGTTCTCCACCAGCATCCGTGCCACGAAGTTCTTGCCTGTGCCAGACCAGCCGTGGAACGACAGAGCAAGGGCCTTGTCTGGCTGGGGCGTCTCTAAGTAGCCCCTCACTGTTCTTAGGACCAGCTGCCGGACCAAATGCTGGCCATGCAGCCGCACGTTCAGGTCCCACTCTAAGCCTAAGGACGAGAAAGAGGCAGTCACAGCAAAAGGCACACACAGGCGCATCCACCACAGCAGCCAACAGCCCAGAAACCAAGCAACTCTGAATCTCTCTTGGTTGGGATCAGTTACTCCTCCTGTTTGGCATAATAAGCAGACAGAAGGCAGACTTTGTAGCAGAAGGGATGCAAGGACTACTTTCTTTCCTTTTTCTTTTTTGAGAGGAAGTCTTGCTCTGTCACCCAGGCTAGAGTGCAGTGGTGCAATCTCGGCTCCGCCTCCCTGGTTCAAGCGATTCTCCTGCCTTAGTCTCCTGAATGGCTGGGATTACAGGTGCCCACCACCATGCCCGGCTAACTTTTGTATTTTTAGTAGAGATGGGGTTCACCGTGTTGGCTAGGCTGGTCTGGAACTCCTGACCTCGTGATCCGCCCGCCTCGTCCTCCCAAAGTGCTGGGATTACAGGCGTGAACCACCATGCCTGGCCTCAAGGACTACTTTTTGAAGAGTTTGGGAAATAAAGATGGGACTTAGGGAGACAGAGGAATCACCCTTCCTGAAGATCCTGCACATACCCAGAACAGTTGGCACAGACCTGTCTAGGGAGGAATCCTGTCCCCCATGTCCTGAGGCTGCTCCTATCCCTTGGTTTCAGGGCTCCCTGTTTCATGGAGAAGCTTGATTTTATTCATTCTCATTCAATTCAGCCGACACTTGTTGAGAGCAGCTCCAGTGTGCAAAGCCCTCTGCTAGGCCTAACTTCCTCTCAGACCAGAGGTTGTAGGATTTGGAGATGGGGCTACCAGGAGCCACAGTGGAGGCAGGGAGGGTGTGCTGCCAGCTGTGGGTGAGCACTCCAAATCCAGGATCAATTGGTTGAACACCTCAAGCCAGCCCAGAGCGTGTATTCTGGAGCCTTGGGAGGTCAAGGTCTATGATAAAACATTGAGGGTATCACACATTGCTCCAAAAGTAGTAGTGACATAGAAGAAAATTAACATTTGCTGTTTTCTCTGTATTCAGAACTGGGCTAAGTGTTTTACATTTAGCCTTCACAATTCTGCAAGGCAGGCATTATTATTCCCATTTAAAGCTGAAGAAACTGGCTGGGCGAGGTGGCTCACGCCTGTAATCCCAGCACTTTGGGAGGCCGAGGTGGGTGGATCACCTGAGGTCACGAGTTCGAGATCAGCCTGGTCAATGTGGCAAAACCCCATCTCTACTAAAAATACAAAAATGAGCCAAGCATGGTGGCGTGCGCCTATAATCCCAGCTACTTGGGAGGCTGAGGGAAGAGAATCGCTTGAACCTGGGAGGCGGAGGTTGCAGTGAGCCGAGATCACGCCACCGCACTCCAGCCTGGGTGACAGAGACTGACTTGGTCTCAAAATAAATAAATAAAAGAAATAAAATAAAATACAGCTGAGGAAATGGACACTTGGGAAGGACTCTGCCAGCAAGGAAGAGGCAAGACTAGGAATCCAGTGGAGGAGTCTCTGATTCCCCGGCCACAACAATTTGGATATCCAGGCCTTTGTCGAACAGGCATGTTGAGGGCAGAACGTAGTTGAGGGCAGAAAGTAACTCGCTAATTGCCACCTAGGGTCTTATCCAAGTCAGCAGTGATCCAAATTCAGACTTCCTGACCTGTATGTACTCCTATCTTCTGTCCTGAGCCAGACTGTGTCCCTAAAAACACTGTGTTATTGGCATTTTGGCCAATTAAGTGACCTAAATATCTAAGGTGGGCCTCATTTATGGAGACTGAAGGAGCTGGGATCAGAACTCTGGGTAAGAAATTGCTCCTGGGGAAAAGAGAGGAAGCTTTTGCAAATGTCTGAATAGGTTTCAGAACATGGGGTCAAAGATGACCTTGTGAGAGTGAAAATGCAAATCAACTGCAATATGCAAATCAAGTCACCCAAACTAATTAGAAAATACTGGTTGCCGGGTGCAGTGGCTCACACCTGTAATCCCAGCACTTTGGGAGGCCGAGGTGGGCAGATCACAAGGTCAGGAGTTCAAGACCAGCCCGGCGAACATGGTGAAACCACGTCTCTACTAAAACTACAGAAATTAGCCGGACGTGGTGGTGGGCACCTGTAATCCCAACTACTCAGGAGGCTGAGGCAGGAAAATTGCTTGAACCCGGGAGGCAGAGGGTGCAGTAAGCTGAGATCGCACCACTGCACTCCAGTGTGGGTGCAAAGCAAGACTCTGTCTCAAAAAAAAAAGAAAGGGACACTTGTAATCATAACCCAGAATTTCTGATCAGTTCTCTCACTGGATAGTCCAGCCCCTCTGAGAGGTCTCTGTTTGTGTTTAGAGTGAAACAAGGTGCTCTGGGCCTGACTCTCCTAGAGATCAAAGGAGATGTTGGATTATGAGTTAATCCCTTTGAAACTCTTAGCACAGTGCCTGGTATGTATAACAGATATTAGGTATTCTCTTCTCCTTGGAAACGCTCTCAGGGATGCAGGAGGACATGGTGGGGGTAGCTGACAAATGAGCAGAGGAAAACCTGTTTAGACAAGGGACACACGGTGGTAATGATGGGCCTGTTCCCTCCTCCCAGCTTAGCTGAGTGTGATGTGTTCATGGCATTCCCATGGATCCTCAAGATGCACGAAACAACTCAGTTTGCCTGGGCTATTAAGCTAGAGGCTAAAAAGGGGCTTCCCTGACTCAAGCATTTGGTACTCCTTCAAAACCTCAGACTGTGGCAGTTCCTGCTTGTGGGGTGGTTGGACAGGATGACGAAAGGTCCCTTGCATCTAACCATTTCCCCTGGACTGCGTCCCCTCCCCACAGATCCCTAGTCCCTTGAAGCCATGCGAGGTCCAACCTGTAAAGTTGTTGGAGATTCTGCAATCCCCACCGGGGCAGCAGTCTTGGAAGCTGCAGTACCACGTGGTCAGGAGATCCAAGTACCGCTGGCCCAACAGGGGAAGGCGCCAGCCTGGAAAAGGAAGAGCTGTGAGACCGAGAGGAGACCATCCGGCGCTCGACAGTGATGCGGCAACGTTGCCACACAATTTGTCAGGGACAGAGCGACACCCAGAACTCAGATTCCAACTCCCAGCCCCAGCTCAGCCCACTGTCGGTCCTCAAGCCCTGCGTTCAAAAGCAGCAAGGGAGACGGCAGTCACCAGGCATGTCCACAGCGGACGTTCCCTAGAGCTGTCAAGAGCAGCACCTTCGAATAACGCCAGGGTGGGCTGGGAGACGGCACAGGCGGTGCAAGCGAGTCTGGAAAGCGCGGGGATGAGGGGCGGCAGGGGACGGGCAGCCAGGCCGCAGGGGGCGGCACCGGGGATGCGAGTGGGGCCGGAGCGGTGATGGGGCTCCCTGCTCCGCGGAGGCTGCCCCCGCCTACAGCCGGTACCGGCGGCTGAGCGGAGCAGAACTGCGGGCCCTGACGTCGCCCGGGGCAGGAGCGAGGCGACCACAGCCGCGCCCGGATCGCACTCTGCTCCGCAGCGAACGGCGGGCCGCGGGGACGGGGTCTTACCCAGGGGCCTCGCGGCTGCCTCCTCGTCCTCGTCACAGTCGTCCGGCCACACCTGGCAGCTGAAGAGCGTCCAGTACCGCTTGGAGAGGGCGCCGGCCGCCCTGAGCTGCTCCTGCAGGCGCTGGAAGCCCGGCCAGGCCCAGGCCGAGCCCGGCTCGTCGGTTCCCTCCCACGGCCTGGAGGTGCCGCGGGGCTCAGGCGCGCCCGGGAGCAGCAGCAGCAGCATCAGCAACAGGAGAAAGAGCCAAAGCTGGCGCCACGAGCCGCGAAGCATGGCCGGCCCCAAGCTGCGGGACCCTCTGGCTGCCGGCCTAGCCAGGCTCCCTTAAGCCGGCAGCTGTCGGGCGGGGAACGCACTTCCGAGGCGGGAGTGAACCCGGGATTGGTGTTGCTCTGGCGACCGGCGGGCCGGGCTGAGTGCGCACTGGCAGCCTCCGTACACGTGACCCAGGCGGGAACCCGAAACCCTGGCGGGGGTCCTGAGAGGCAGTCCGGAGACTGACTTCAGGCAAGGTGCAACTAACTGGCTTCCTGGAAGCAGTTTATTCTGGGTCGTGATTGTGGTTGCAAAGGTGAAATCAGGCTTTGAAATGGCCACTGTCAATCACTCGGCTAGGACTTTCGGACGGACCTGGTGGCCCATCAGAGACCTACCGAATAAGGACACTCCTGCTCTGCCTTGCGTTTGCAGATCAACTTCTCGCCAACCAGTTAGAGGAAGCCGGGAAACCGTCTCAAGCCAGGAGGGTTAGGCAGGCCAGGAGAGTCAGCTGAGTGAAGAGGCCCTGGAAAGAAGGGCGCAGCTGGGTGCCTGTCTGGCCGAGGTTGCCCTGGCTCCTCCGCAGAGGGAAATGAAACCGCAGCAAAACACCAGCAGGTTTCCACAGTTTGGGAGTCCACGAAAAGCAAGAGGAAGCTGATTGATGGGCCCCAGTCTGGAAGTGTTTGGATTTTGGAAACCCCCCGAGTCACGGGTAAATCATAAGGCGTCATGTCAATGTAATTATATCTCATAAAAAGGTGAAGTACTGTGTGCGCTTTCTTGACTAGGTTTGCAACTTTCAAGTGCTGGGACTGAGTAGCCCATCCGACACCACTGGCAAAAGACTACAGGGCCTCTTTCCCTCAGCGCTCTCTTCTCCATAGCGAGCAGCTTGGAACAAGGCTGTTAGATTTCAGGAGAGCTTAATGCATTGTTTAAAATCACCTGGCTTACTTCAGCCAATGGCCAAAAAGCCATCTTGTCTTAGGAGAAAACTGCTGTCTAGAGAGATCAGAGGACTTGGCTAATGTCGTATGTTTAGTGGCTTTGAGGTTGGGCCCTCCAGACAGTAAGGTGAATCCGAGCACCATGAGTCACAAATGTCACAGGCAACTTGACTCATCTCTTCACCCCCGTCTCTTAGATCACACCCAGTGCCAGGTCTGCTCCATTCTCAGCAGCACACCAAATTTGCGCCTTTCATTCAAACAGCTACAGAAACTAGACAAGCACCTTTGCTAGGACACGAGGTTGAGATGAAAAGTAAAATGTTCGTAGTGTCTCAGCCATCCGGTGTGATGTCAAAAACTTTTCAGAGAAGCAGCCATGGCACCAGCCCAGCACTGTGTACATTAAGCTTGTGGAGTCCACCAGAGACAATTAACAGCACATACACCACAGTGCTTACTGGAAAACCAAACAAATTAGGCCGGGTGCGGTGGCTTACGCTTGTAATCCTAGCACTTTAGAAGGCCGAGGAGGGCGGATCACCCGAAATCAGGAGTTCGAGACCAGCCTGGCCAACATGGCGAAACCCAGTCTCTACTAAAAATACAAAAATTAGCGGAGTGTGATGGCGCACATCTGTAATCCCCGCTGCTCAGGAGGCTGAGGCAGGAGAATGGCTTGAATCCAGGGCGCGGAGGTTGCAGTGAGCCAAGATCGTGCCACTGCACTCCAGCCTGGGTGACAGCACAAGACTCCATCTCAAAAAAAAAAAATTCACTCACTCAACAAATGTCGCTTGAGTCTGAATGGCAGTCTAGTATAGTGATTACCATTTTCTATTTGTGCAACCCTGTGTGTTACTGAACCGTCCCATGCCTGTTTCCTCACCTATAAAAAGGGATAATAAAATAGTCCCCTCATAGGGCTGCTGTGAAGATTAAATGAGCTCATTCAATGAGCACATCATCAACACTCAGTATGTGGCCACTTTTATTTTTGTATCTACCCAGCCCTGGAGGAGGCTCTAGGTGGTCTACACAGGAGGTGAGGATGGCTTTAGTTAATACTGGTGAAGTTTATAAGTGAATTTATGGTGAAAAAATTAATAGTAACAATTGTTTATTAAAACAATCCAAGTTTTAAGATTTTGTGGAAACAATTATCTTTGCTTGGAACTTTCATGTAGGGTTACCTCCTCATTTCTGAGATGTTCTGACTTGGATTTAGCATCCCATGGTAAATAAAGTAGGTTAGCTGGGAAGTTCTTCGACAACCGACTTGATTTCAAGACATTTTTATTATTTATTTATTTAGAGACGGAGTCCTGCTCTGTCACCCAGGCTGGAGTGCAGTGGTGCAATCTTGGCTCACTGCAAGCTCTGTCTCCCTGGTGCAAGCGATTCTTCTGCCTCAGCCTCCTGAGTAGCTGGGATTACAGGCGTTCAGCACCACGCCCCGCTAATTTTTTCTTTTTTTCCTGTATTTTTAGTAGAGACGGGGTTTTGCCATGTTGGCCAGGCTGGTGTTGAACTCCTGGCCTCAAGTGATCTGCCCGCCTCAGCCTTCTAAAGTGTTGGGATTACAGGCGTGAGCCACCACGCTCGGCTGACATTTTTCGCTATTTAAAAAAAAAAAAAAAAAAAAAAAACAAGAACTAAACAGTTTTTCACCAGTCAGTCCCGTGTAGAAACAATAAATCCAAACACCAGTTTCTAGACAAGTCTCTTGAGTATTTCAATAAATACTCCTTTTGGTCTCAGGGCTTGAAGGCTGTGCTCATTTTAAAGGTCTGGGAGCAGTATCGTGGATGATGGGGACATCTAGAGACTGTTGGGAAAACTACAGACAGCTATGATTCTTTAGCAAGCATTACGGTGCTACTCAAGAGTGGTTCCAGAACCCCAGCACTGGCATCACCCAGGAGAGCTTGATAGAAATGCAGAATCTCAGGCCTCAGACATACTGAATCAAAACCTGCACTTTTAAAGTCTTTCTGTGCAGGGAGCCGTGGCTCATGCCTGTAATCCCAGCACTTTCGGAGGCTGCGGCAGGAGGGTCGCTTGAAGCCAGAGTTTGAGACCAGCCTGGGCAATAAGGCTAGATCCCTTGTCTCTCTACCAAAAATAAAAATAAAAAATAAGCTGCATGTGGTGCTGCGCGCCTGTAATCCTAGCTACTTGAGAGGCTGAGGGAGGAGGATTGCTTGAGCTCAGGAGTTTGAGACTGCCAATGAGCTATGATTGTGCCATTGTACTCCAGCCTGCAACGGAGCAAGACTGTCAATCCAAAAAAAAAAAAAAGAAAAAGCCTAAGGCCAAATTGGCACACACCTTTATTGATATCATCTGAGTGTGACCTAGCCTTACAATAGACATCTTCCCAACCCCGCCGAAGGCAGTCAGAACCATCTGTCTTGGAAACACTCTGGGTCAAAAGCAAGTCTCGGCCGGGCACGGTGACTCATGCCTGTAATCCCAGCACTTTGGGAGGCTGAGGCACTTGAGGTCAAGCAATTGAGACCAATCAGCCTGACCAATATGGAGAAACCCCGTCTCTACTAAAAATATAAAAATTAGCCAGGCGTGGTGGCACGTGACTGTCATCCCAGCTACTTGGGAGGCCGAGGCAGGAGAATTGCTTGAACCTGGGAAGCGGAGGTTGCAGTGAGCTAAGACCGCGCCATTGCACTCCAGCCTGGGTGTTGGAGCGAGATTCGGTCTCAAAAACAACAAAACAAAAGCAAGTCTCCATATTTAAATAACCCTGCATGAGAAACAAACATTACAGGAATGTTTCCCAGCTCATCTATGTTCCTTTAACATCTATACAGCACTCCAAGTGGACTGAGAATGTCCTTAAGAGACAGGGCACACACACATTTCCTAGAACAATGAGAAACCCCTGAAGCAGTATTTCTGGTGACCCAGATACTGAAAGTACAGGCCCAGAAGGCCCTGTATTCACTAAGCAAATAATTCTGCATTTCCGGAGTCAGGGGTTCTATACACACCTCTTGTCAAGCCTGGCCTGGATCAATCTCCACTTTTTCAATGTAGGTCCTGCCTAATCCAACCCCTCCCAATCCCCACCTCCATGATCCTCTCCTGTTTCTTATTCTCACTGCAACTAATTTATATAATTCCTGAGGGACTTGGTGCCTTGCAAGCAGTTTTTTTTTTCTGCCAGGTCTAGACTGCAGGCTCTTTGAGGGAAAAAGACAGTCACTATCACGTCAGTAGATACCACAGCTCACCGCACAATGGCCCAAAGATCTACTGACAATAGACCAAACATCTCACAAACTGTGATTTAATACCATTATTCCTTGGGGCTTATACCTTATAAAACCCTACCCATGGAAATCCAGTGGTTATGACCATTCCTATTTTACAAAATGAAGGCTGCTAAAAATCAGTCTCATAAGCAAACATACTAGGTAAAATTACCCAGTAACAGAGCCCCACACTCCCTACTCCCAGCTACCTTTTTCAAGCTCTAATACCAGTTGTTCTGATATGCTTGAGAAGCAAATGAATCCTGAACTCTAGCCTGGAAAAGAATTTCTATGTGGTGAGTCAGTGAGATACACAGACCAGGCTCTACTAGCCTCCCACAGGTTTTCACACACAAATGACAAAAACTATCACAAATATGCTGCAAATAAAACTTTTTTTTTTTTTTTGAGAGAATTTCCCTCGTCGCCCAGGCTGAAGTGCAATGGTACGATCTTGGCTCACTGCAACCTCCGCTTCCCGGGTTCAAGCGATTCTCCTGCCTCAGCCTCTGAGTAGCTGGGATTATGGGCGCTTGCCATCACGCCCAGCTTTTTTTGTTGTTGTTGTTGAGACTGAGATTCGGTCTAATACCGAATCTCCATATTTAAATAACCCTGCATGAGAAACAAACATTACAGGAATGTTTCTCAGCTCATCTGTTTCGCTCTTGTTGCCCAGGCTGGAGTGCAATCGCGCAATCTCAGCTCACCGCAACCTCCACTTCCCGGGTTCAAGCAAGTCTCCTGCCTCGGCCTCCCGAGTAGCTGTGATTACAGGCATGCGCCACCATGCCCAGCTAATTCTGTATTTTTAGTAGAGAAGGGGTTTCACCATGTTGGCCGGGCTGGTCTCAAACTCCTGACCTCAGGTGACCCGCAGGCCTCAGCCTCCAAAAGTGCTGGGATTAAAGACATGAGCCACGGCGCCTGGCCCAATAAAAATCTTAAGAGCTTTGTTTAGTTATCTGGTTGAGGTTTATGATGCTGGATTCCATCTGAAAAGTTAAAAATCTAGGTGTCCTAAGAAGTACTATTAGGGCAACTGGCCTTCTCTTCCTACCTTTTTTGTAGTATGCTGACAAGTGCTTCAGGATTCATAATCCTTTACCTCTAAGGAAGCTGCAAAAATGGAATTAACTATTAAATATATAAAAAGCACCTAAGAATGATCCCATGAAAAATTTTGGTACAGTTACAATCTAGTATGAACCGTTTGAAGACTGGTGAGGAAATCTGCAGGTCTAATCCACCAGGTACTATGAAACAATCCCTGTGGAAGTTTAAGTGGTCACAAAAGATGTAATCTTCTTGTGTCCCCTAACAAAACAGGAAGGAAACTGAAATAGGAACCACTGGAAATATCCTGAAGGGAGAAAGAAGAGGAAAAGATCAGACATCATATTTATTAAAATCTTTATTCATTTTCTTTTTTCAGAATTGAAACCCATAGAACACATTAGAAATTTAGATGCATATCTGTCTTGTTTGGTATCTTACCAAGTACAATCTCTGTGCAACAGCTCTGAGAGGAAATCCTTGGCAGATCAAAAGACAGGGTAGTGGCTCCCACACTTTCCATTTAAGCAAATAAATTAGCTTCCGAGTAAGTTGTTCCCAGTTTCACCCAACATTTTGTGTTTATGAGAAACACCTTAGTTCCTAAAAACCTGTGGTAGTCCAATACCCAGTCCCTCCTACCTTGTCACCACCCAGACTTGAGGAATTGAAGGGAAAAAAACTGGCCTTCCCCTGTAGAATGAGTTTCCCAAAGACAGGTTTGCCTGGCTCACTAGTAGGCCTGGCCTGTGCTGGCACACTAGAGCTGCTCAGTAGGTATTTGCTGATGAATAGTCTTTATGTTAATTAGGGTCCACTCTCAGAGACTGAGAACCTTTCACTAGCTGCAAGTCCTTCAGCAATTTAAGTCAGTGTTCCCCTTTGTTAAAATAAATATGTTTTTCTTGCTAGAATACATATACGACTATATACATTACATATACCTTTACTCATGTTTCCTGAAGCTCAAACTCACAGGATGAGGCATATAAGATAGCTTACTGACGATGCTGTTTTATCATCATTGAGGTGTGGCCATTTACTGGTCAAAGAATACACGGGTGAAGAAGAAGAAAGGCTGAAGAAATATGGCAGATGGAAAGGGAAGGGAAGGCAAAAGCATTTTCTTTTTTTAGAAAAAAAAGATGGATTTCTTTGGAAGACAATGCTGGCTTTGGATGACATTGAAAAATTGCCATGTATAGGATTCATCTTTCCCAAAATAATACGCAATTAATGTACCTGAATTCTTCCATTTCCTTCTTAAATTTCATTTGACATATTAATCCTGAGTGCAAACAGGGGGCAATGCCTTATTAATACATTCTTGAATAATACTCTGAGCAAATCAGATCCTATGAATTTGTTTTACACAGAAAATTATTTACACCTCCCCCAAACCCACAATGCAGCCTCATACTAAAGAAAGTTTTATAACAAAACCTTTACACTCAAATTTATCCATTCAAACTTTAGAATAAACATTTTGTAACAAGTGGGAAGAGGGCAGGAAATGGCCATGAGTTCGGATTTTCCTAGTTTTGTAGTATTAAAATGTCTCCACATCTACCTTTGGATGTTTGGTAGGCATACCTTACAGCTGATCCAAACCCTGCAACGACTTGATTGTAACAGCCTTAGATTCTAATAGAGAAAGTAGGACAGTGTGACAACACTTAAAAAAAAAATCCACCTCCTTTTTTTTTTCTTCTTTTTTTTAAGACAGAGACAATTCTCCTGCCTCAGCCTCCCGAGTAGCTGGGACTACAGGCGTATGCCACCATGCCCTGCTAATTTTTGCGTTTTCAGTAGAGATAGGGTCTCACCATGTTGGTCAGGCTGGTCTCGAACTCCTGGCCTCAGGTGATCTGCCCAACTCGGCCTCCCAAAGTGCTGGAGTGACAGGCATGAGTCACTGCACCCGGCCCCGACCTCTTCTTTCAAACAGTGTTTGAAATTTTAGCGCTTTCTGAATTTTAGAGCTGTAAGTTTATGGTTGGTTTTCTCTAAGATTTGCCTAAACATACTTTTCCAGCTTACTGAAATCCTGACTTAGAACAAAAATTTATGTTGTCAGTGCCATGTCACACCACTCTATTAGCTCAATTCTAACTTTATGGATTAGAGTTCTAAATTTTATGGATGAAAATTCTAAATTTATGATCAGAATGCCTTTTAAGATCACGAGTCTGAAAACAGATGTGAATAAAATGAAATGATATATTTTCTGCAAATGCTTTCAAGAAAGGATTGAGACATTTTCTTTCCTGCCTGCTTTTTTCCTTAGCAGAATCTCTGTCTTCAGTGTTATGAAGTTCCTAGTTTCAGACTTCTTATTCATTTCAGTGTGGCATACTAAAGGCATCATGTATTTGAAAGACCACAAATCCATAACTTAGTTCAACTAACCTTTACAGGGAGAGCAGAGCTGATATCTCTTTCTATTGTCTCCTCCCAGCTGGCTCCTGGAAGCTTGTGGGTGAGTACTAACCAAGGTATTCTCATACTAAGCTATGAATTTCCCTGGACACACAACAGTGAGTAGCCTTAAAAGTGAAATCAATGCCTCCTTTGGTTAACACGAATTCTGTGTTTTGTGCTAGTCTCTGTCTTCTTAAATTCAATACACCCTTTTTATAACCCAGCCCATTGTTCTCTTCATCTCAAAATGTATATAAAATGTACAAAAGTTTCCTAATTTCATGCTATTTAAAAATAGTTACAGGTTACTCAGTTATCTTTCAATGCAAGAAAACTGGGCATAAATTCTAAAGCTGTTTTTGAGAGTGGGTGCCTAAAACTAGTTTCCAATGGCTGGCATTAAATGTATTCAACCACACTGTTTAAATATTCGCCTCTGCTTGACAGGAATGAAAAGCTGGAACGCACCTTGACAAGATGCAGGAGCAAAGCACATAGCTCTGAGTCCACAGGTGAGCGGGCACATCAGCCCTGTCTTCCTTTGCCCCTGTGTTTTACTGCAACTACTTACACATCGACATCACTTTGCCAGAACACAAAATGAAAACTGTGCTTTACAAACCTGAAATTTGAGAGTGCTAAGAGGAGAAAGAAGCATAATATAACATCATGGGTTCAGAACTCCAGACAAGACTGAATGATGGAATTAGGATTTGACATAAATCAAAATCTTAAGGCTCTTCCTTTTAACCTCCTCAATTTCAAGGCTCAGAAGGCTTAAAATCTTGGCTGGGTATGGTGGCTCATGCCTGTAATCCCAGTACTTTGGGAGGCCGAGGCAGGTGGATCACCTGAGGCCCGGAGTTTGAGATCAGCCTGGCCAACAAGGTGAAACCCTGTCTCTACTAAAAATATAAAAATCAGCTGGGCGTGGTGGTGGGCACCTGTAATCCCAGCTACTCTGGAGGCTGAAGCAAGAGAATCGCTTGAACCCAGGAGGCGGAGGTTGCAGTGAGCCGAGATCATGCAACTGCACTCTAGCCTGGGCAACAGAGTGTGTCTTGGTCTCAAAAAAAAAAAAAAAAAAAAAAGAAGAAGAAGGCGGCTTAAAATCTTTGTTTCCAGTCTTCCGTGGCCCCAAATCACAAGATAAGTCCAGTCCAGCCACCAGTAAGGTATATACTCTCACCTGTAGGAGTGTCCCTTTCTTAGGAGAAAGGGGCAAAAAGGTTGCTGATCTCTTGGGAACAGCAGCTTCAGTGACAAAATACCCTAAAGGCAGAGGTGGAAATTCATTTCAGAAGAGAAATGAGGATGACAGAGACCACAGGCTACTTGTTATTCAAGGTATTATTTCAGTTTGCTTTGTTAATTTGGGAAGGACTGCTTTCGGCAAAAGGGGAAAAAATTAGTCTCCTTAGAGAATCATGCTTAGATTGTAAGAGCATTTTCTCCAGACAACTTTTTGGTTAATTGGGATACAACTATGAGAATGCAGAATTTACTTAGGTGCAAAGTCATGTTTGCTTTTTACACACCTTAAGATCCTAAATACAAGGGAACCTGTTTTTCAATTTCAATCATCTGCCCGATTCTGGTTCTACCAGTGGGTCTCTCTTTCTTCTTCCCTCCTCTAAGATCATCAAAACAATACTACCCAATGGCTTAAAAGCCCAAACACCTTTCTGTTTTTATCCTTCCCTCCAATTCTATCTGAAACATGTATCTCCTCCAACAGAGTGTGCTATTTTGGCTTGATGGAATGCAAGGTTTTATTTGCTGCCACTCTGTAGGACAGTAAGCATTCTGATTTAACTAGTTCTGGTAAAAAAAAAAAAAAAAGACACAAGAGGTTGCAAAGTGTTTCCACAAAATCCACAGGCGTGGAGAAAGGACTGCAAGGTTCAATTCAAAACACACGCTCCAGAGCCAACCCCAGTATTCGTCTATCCAAATGTCACACCTGTTTGTCCTTTGGCATGGGAATTAAGACTGACCAACTATGATGCCCAGTGCTAAAATGGGCAATTGCCGAGGAGGTCAGAAGGCGACTCAGCAGGAATGTCTCTATGCTCTGAAACTTGTGGTCTTTGCTTTAGTTTCCACTAGAGAAAACACCAAAGACATCCAAGGCCACCCTGTCCCCTGTCACCAGAACTTGCTGCTGGCCACTTCCAATCCATCTCATACCATTTGGAATTGATTGTGCTGTTTCTCTATCTTTGTAAAAAGAAGTTTCACTTATTTTGTGTCGAGAATTACAAGTGTGAGAGAGGCATCCTGTCTTCCACCAGTACTGTGTCCACCCCAAACTGGTCGGTACACTGCTTCACAGTGGCCAGGACACTCAGGAGCCGCTGATCCACGGCGTCCAGATGAGGATCAGAGAGCACTGGGGAGATGGGGTCATGGGCCATGGCAGATTTTAAGGCAGACTTTAGCACACCATTCTTTAGGTAGTTCAGTCTGTTCCAGGTAGAAACCCGAATGCTGGAAGAAAAAGTTATAGAACAAGTTACTTAAAACCTCTCATTATCAAACGGAATTTGAAAGCCTGCTAGGCAGACAAAAGTAAAAAAAAATTAGGTAAAATACTTTAAATCATTTTTGTTTTAGAATTACCACTACATAATGAGTAAGCAACATTACATGTTTTGATATTGTTTCTGTGTAACTAATCAGAGATATATACAGAGATTTACACACATGTTCACCACAGTGCTGTTTGTAACAGGAAAAATGTTAAACAATCTGAACGTCTAATGATTGGGAAATAGTTAAATTATGGTTCATCCATTGAAAGGAATACCATGCAGCCGTTAAAAACAATTTTGAAAATTTAGTGGCATGGGAAATGCCTATGGTATGATGCTGGGTGGGGGGAAAAGGTTGGAGGAAAACCCTGTTTCACTTCAAATCTGTAGGAAAACAAAATACACACACATGGATTGGAATGAAGTACACTACAATGTTAACAAGAGGATGTATCCTTAGACGTTAATGGGTACTATAAGCTTCCTTCTTCTTGTGTTTCTGAAGTCTAAAACAATTTCTCCTACGAAAAAATTATTTTAAGGATACCTATCTGCCTTAATTATTTCACCAACTGCTACCGTTTGAATGTCTGTCCCCTCCAAAATACATGTTGAAATTGCCATTGTAACAGTATCAAGGTGGAGTCTTTAAGAGGTCATTAGGCCATGAGTGCTCTGCCCTCATGGGTGGAACTAATGTTGCTATGAAAAAGCAAGTTCAAGGCCCGGAGAGGTGGCTCATGCCTGTAATCCCAACACTATGGGAGGCCGAGGTGGGCCCTGAGATTGGGAGTTCGAGACCAGCCTGGCCAACATGGTAAAACCCCATCTCTACTAAAAATGCAAAAATTAGCTGGGCATGGTGGCACGTGCCTTTAATCCCAGCTACTTGGGAGGCTGAGGCACAAGAATCATTTGAACCTGGGAGGTAGAGGTTGCAGTGAGCTGAGATTGCGCCACTGCACTCCAGCCTGGGCAACAGAGTGAGACTCCATCTCAAAAAAAAAAAAAAAAGGTGAGTTCAGCCCCTTGTTGCCCTCTCTCTTTGCCCTTTTGCCTTCTGCCATGTGACATGACAACACAGCAAGAAGTCCCTTGTCAGATGCTGGCACCTTGATATTTAACATTCCAGCCTCCAGAACTGTGAACCAAAATTTCTGTTCATTATAAATTACCCAGTCTGGCCAGGTATGGTGGCTCATGCCTGTAATCCCAGCACTCTGGGAGGCCCAAGGGGGCAGATCACTTGAGGTCAGGAGTTCGAGACCAGCCTGGGCCACATGGTGAAACCCCATCTCTACTACAAATACAAAAATTACCCAGGCATGGTGGTGAACGCCTGTAATCCCAGCTACTTGGGAGGCTGAGACAAGAGAATCACTTGAACCTGGGAGGTGGAGGTTGCAGTGAGCCGAGATCGCGCCACCGCACTCCAGCCTGGGCGACAGAGCAAGACTCCCTCTCAAAATATGATAAAATAAAATAAAACAAGTTACCCAGTCTGTGGTATCCTGTTATAGCAGCACAAAACAAACAAGACACCAACTATAGAGTATCTTTTATTTATCTGAGAAGAAAAGTTCTTAGCTCTCTGTGGGCAAAGTAGGAATTACTAGGTACGCAGAAATGTCTGATTCTGTAAAAGGCAGCCTGTTGTGCAACAATTTAAAAGCTAAGGAAGACTGTTGCATAAAGCATGCATGGAAGGGACAAACAGGCACAGACGGAGTACAGTTATTTTTTATTCTGAAATATATTACAAATGCCCAGAGCATCAGAGCTTCCTCTGTGACTAAGTTATCACGTTATTTCCTCTTAGCTCCAAATTCACTCTTCAAAATATGCTCTGCTGGCCAGGCACAGTGGCTCACGCCTGTAATCCCAACACTTTGGGAGGCCATGGTGGGCAGATCACCTGAGGTCAGGAGTTCCAGACCAGCCCCACCAACATGGTGAAACCCCATCTCTACTAAAAACACAAAAAATTAGCTGGGCGTGGTGGCGGGCACCTGTAATCCCAGCTACTCAGGAGGCTGAGGCAGGAGAATCACCCGAACCCAGGAGACGGAGATTGCAGTGAGCCGAGATCATGCCACTGTACTCCAGCCCGGGCGACAGAGCGAGACTCCATCTCAAAAAACCAAACAAAACCAAAATGTGCTCTGCTACAACGGATGGGATTCATTTAAGCATCTTTCCCCTAAAGCTTTCTCACTAGAGGGCGCTAAGAGCACACTGCAAGGGGAAGGGGCTCTCCAAATGCTTCTGTGGGTCGATAGTGGTGTTGGGGAGGCACAGAGGTCATCCAGTGAAGCCCTGTCTAGCCACATTCCCAGAAAGTGTGGGTCCTTGGTGACCTCAAGCCTTAGCCTGGCCTGGGGATAACTGTCCTGAGGCCCTCTCAACATGGAAACCAGAGATTTGAAGGTCATCTGCTCACCCTGGCCCCAATTCCCTCTGAAGGCCCACATGTGTGCCTCACTTGCAGCACAGAAGGTTCCTACTGGATTCTCTCTCTCCCTCTGCATGTCATGACACCAGCTATGGCTTGAATGTACACCCAGCCTGCACTCTGGAGAACTGCTTCTGGCTTGTTCAGCACCTGCAAACTAGCAAACTTCTCTGCTATCTGGTGGGTTGAGCTAAACCTTCTCCACTGAAGTCCAAACTCCAGTCATTGGGAGGGGATCCCCTTCCAAGTTTGTCCTTCCTTGGGTACTCTCCCTCAGCCCTAGTTTTCTTTTACAGTCACTCCTGTTATTGGAATTTAATAATTCTTTATATTGGGTTGGGCTCAGTGGCTCACGCCTGTAATGCCAGCACTTTGGGAGGCCAAGGCGGGCAGAGCACAAGGTCAGGAGTTCTAGACCAGCCTGGCCAACATGGTGAAACCCCGTCTCTACTAAAAATACAAAAATTAGCCAGGTGTGGTGACAGGCACCTGTAATCCCAGCTACTTGGGAGGCTGACTCAGGAGAATAGCTTGAACACGGGAGGTGGAGGTTGCAGTGAGCCGAGATCGCTCCACTGTACTCCAGCCTGGGTGACACAGCAAGACTCCGTCTCAAAAAAAAAAAAAAAACAAAAAAAAAAACAATTATTTATATTAAACACCTCTGTTTAACACACTGTGTCTTTTTTATCTCCTGATTGAACCAGACTGATAAAACTACTACGACAAAAACATCTTCAAAGACAAACGCACAATTCTTGATTGTATATATCACTACTTCCCATCATTAATAAAGACAATTAAAGACTGCCTGAGTAAACTGTTACTTTCTACAGAATTTTGTTGTTATTTAAAAAAAGAAAGAAGAGAAAGAGACTAGTTGCTAGGGCAGTTTTATGTGATATGATGTTGCTGGGAGCTGACCAGTATTAAGTGGTGCTTTTGAACTTGCTTTTCTATGAAGCTAAGCAAGGTGAATCCCAGCTGATTCTTCATGTGCATGCTCTAAAATTACACCAGGATGGTCGGGTGCGGTGGTTCACACCTGTAATCCTAGCACTTTGGAAGGCTGAGGCAGGTGGATCACTTGAGGTCAGTAGTTCCAGATCAGCCTGGCCAACATAGTGAAACCCATCTCTACTGCAAATACAAAAATTAGCTGGCTTTGGTAGCAGGTGCCTGTAGTCCCGGCTACTTGGGAGGCTGAGGCACAAGAATTGCTTGAACCCGAGAGGCAGAGGTTGCCATAAGCTGAGATTGCGCCGCGGCACTCCCACCTGGGTGACAGACGCAGATGCTGTCTCAAATTAAAAAAAAATAATAATAAAAAAATAAAATAATTTCAGGAATGATGAAAAGAAGCTTCTTAGACTTTAGCTCATTTTCTTGACTCGTTTTTCAATTTCTCTGTTCCCGGTTTTTTAAAAAAACCAATTACTATTTATTTTCTATTTTTGTGAGACAGAGTCTCACTCAGTCACCCAGATTGGAGTGCAATGGCGCAATCTCGGCTCACTGCAACCTCCGCCTCCCAGGTTCAAGCAATTCTCCTGTCTCAGCCTCCTAAGTAGCTGGAATACTGGTGCCTGCCACCATGCCCGGCTCATTTTTGTATTTTTATTAGAGACGGGATTTCGTCATGTTGGCCAGGCTGGTCTCAAACTCCTGACCTCAGGTGATCCACTCACCTCGGCCTCCCAAATTCCTGGAATTACAGGAGTGAGTCACTGTGCCTGGCCAAAATCAATTATTATTTATGGAAAAAGTTACTTTTGGTTTAATTTCAAACTGAAATATGCGAACCCCAGGTGGTATGTGATGGGTGAGTGAGAGGACTTGAAACCACAAGGTAACCAGGTGTAGTAACCAGGGATGCAGATTTTACTCAGTTTGTTTTTTGTTGTTTTTTTTTTTTGGCGGTGGGGTGGGGAGTATGGGTGATTATATTCTGCTATTAAACCAAACATAGACATGTATTACTGAATACATACACTCTTCTATTCATACAAAATTTGAGATGAATTCTGAGCTGTGGGTTATCTGCCTTCACTTTTCCCTGATATCCCATTTCAGGATCTCCAGAGGTTCATATCCCATTTCAGGATCTCCAGAGGTTCTAGGTTGGAGAAGTATGAAAAGCACGTCTCAGGTATCAGAAAGCCTGAGGGCCAAGAAAATGGATGTACTGTTACCTGAGCCTGGAAAGGAAGGCAATGCAGGCACATGTATTTGCTATGCACAACTTACATGCAACACTGATAGAGAGGGGCAAGAATGCTTCTTTCATCCAGCGAGGGGTTCCCAAAGCTGAAAATTAAATTAAAACTTAGTGAATTCAGTGGAAGTACCATTCTTTTCTTAGCATCAAAGCAATAGCAAATTCTATGTGAAACTGAACTGTGATCCTAGATAATTTCACGCTCCAGCAGCTCAAATCACTTAAATTGAAAACAAGCGGGGCATGACCAATTAGACACAGGATCCCTAACAGCCTGTACTAAAATATCTGACAACAAATATACTCATTTACAAGGGACCTTTTCCTGCCAAGATATTAGAAGGTACTGGAGCATAATTATGGTAAACACAGTGTGGAGTTCACAGACCAAAGGGAGAACTTGAAGACCCCTAAGCCTGCAAAGGTTTTAAGGACCAGAGGGAGAAATAAAGGCCATTTATATTAGATTCCCACAAACAAGCAGATGACCACTACTTGTAAAAAGAAGTCACACTTGTTCTACTCCCAAATTACCAATATCCTATTCCCTACAAGTAAGTATATGTACCGATTCAAATTGGAAAAACTGTTCACAGAGGCTGAGGAAACTGATTCACAGCAGATGCAAAAATTACCTTAGCAGCAATTCAGAGTTAGAAAAGGAGAACTGATTCTAGAAAACTGTCAACCTTTCCCTCTTTCCAGAGGTTCACCTTAATAGCTGGAGTCTGGTAGTTCTTAGTACAGTGTAGGTCCTCCAGTAATTCAAGGCAAAGGCAACTGCTATTGTCTGAATGTTTGTATCCCCCTGAAATTCGTAATCCCTGGTGTAACAGTCCAACAGTATTAAGAGGTAGGGCCTTTGGGAGATGATTAAGCCATAAGGGAAGAGCCCACATCAACAGGTTTAGTGCCCTTATAAATGAGGTCAGAGGGAGCATGTTCACCTCTTCTGCCATATGAGGACACATAGAAGGCACCATCTGAGGAACAGGCCCTCACCAGACACTGAATCTGCTGGCACCTTCATCTTAAGAGTTCTCAGCCTCTGAAACTAAGCAATACATTTCCAATGATTATGAATTACCCAGTCCAAGGGATTTTGTATAGCAGCCTGAATGGACAAAGCAACTATTTTGATATATACCAAATAACAAATATCATGTGTATCACAGGATGAGTGCTATGTGCTTTGCTGTAATGGGGTAGAGGGAGAGGCAGTGTTTGCTGGTCTTTCATTTTCTGTGGTCGTCACCATCTTTCGCGAAGCACAAGGTGCCTGGTGTTCAGTACAAGATGGTGGCATCATTAGCAAATGCTGCCCAAGCACTCTGCTGAGGAGCCATGTCTTAGCTTATTTCCAACAACCAATGTTAACAGTAGTGACCTAGGGCCTGGAAAATTCTGTACTCCAAGGAAGCATTCTATTTAGTAAGTATTTATTAAATGCAACTAAAAGGGTGGCACTACGCCTGTAATCCCAGCACTTTGAGAAGCCGAGGCGAGTGGAGCACTTGAGGTCAGGAGTTCAAGACCAGCCTAGCCAACATGGTGAAACCCCGTCTCTACTAAAAATACAAAATGAGCAGGTGCCTGTAGTCCCAGCTACTCAGGAGACTGAGGCTGGAGAATCGCTTGAACCCAGGAGGCAGAGGTTGCAGTGAGCTGAGATTGTGCCACTGCACTCCAGCCTGGGCAACAGAGCAAGATTCCATCTCAAAAAAAATTTTTTTTAAAAGTGTGGCACTAAAGTGGCCACCATGGAGAATGCAGAATATGAAATGGAAATACAATGTGCTCTCCAAATAGCTCAGGCCTAAAAAAATAAGGACATTCTATTTATTCAAAATGAATAAACTTTTCTTATTCAAGATAGAAGTAACTTGTCGTTATACATAAAATCCACACTAGGCAACAGCTCTTCTTCCCATGATAGCAAAAGTATGGGCCTAGACTAACATAAAAATAGCAAAACATCCTATCAAATAAATTAATTTTTTAATTGCAGGAACCTTTGGATAGAATAAATTTAATAACAAATTCCACACTCCATTACATCTGTATCTCTCAAGTTTCTAAACACCAAATATCATAGCCAAGAAAGAATGATGTAGGTAGTAACAAATGAATGACCCTGGTTTCCAGTTGTCTGAGAAGAGGCTCATAGAGTCTTAGACTCCTTGGAAAGAATTGCTTTTCCATTTTTTGAAGTACTGAGATCCCTGAGAGTAGAGAGAACGACAGGTACCAATAGCAAAGACTCCAAGTGGAAAAAGAAGGACGCCACCTATCAACTGTATTCTGGATGTTCTCCAGGATGCTCTGGAAAATGCCCTTCTTTCACACACAGAAACCCCTCCCTGACAAGGACAGTCCTGCTGGTCTCACCTTTTGGCATTATCAAGAAGGATGAGCATACTCGCGCCTTCATCATCTTGAAAGCTCTCATAGTGATGGCGGTCAGCATTGCCAATCAGGTAATCAAAGACAGCTGTGTCAATGATGTCCAAGAGGCGCGGGCCAGAGTCATAAGGGGATGTTTTCTTCACAGCATCACAGTAGCTCTCGTCATACTCCCACCTGGAGACAAACAGCATCACCAGCACTGAGTGTCAACACTGTACCTGGCACTGTTACATACAAAGAGAAGACAGAGTTCCTACCTACTGGGTTTGCCCCTGACTCCACAGTTCTTTTTACTCTTGGACAGAAGTGCTGGTTCCTTTACAGAATTGGCACCTGGCTAGGCACAGGGGAGAATTAAGTAATGGCTCATAGAAGCATTTACCTGGCCAATTTGCCTTCTCGGTAAGTCCTGCCCCATGGGTGACGGTGTTTCTGCAGAGGCCACACATCTGGAAGCCAAAGTGTGACAGATCCCTCCATTGTGTCTCCATCAGCACAAGCTGGTTCTGTTTCTCGGCAGTAATAGCACTTCCCATAAAAACAAGTATTGTTTCCTACAGGACAGAAAGGAGCCAAATACACTTAAGGAAATAATGAAGACTCCAAATTCTCTCCCAAATAATGCAGAACAGAGTAGCTAAGTAAATAGGCATGGTGAAAACAAAGACCCTGAGTTTACTATATTTCAAACACTTATTTTCCTGGATAGGTAATAAAAAAGCACACAGTATAAAAAAAAATTCAAAAAGTACAAAAGGATATACACCCAAAAGCAAGTTGCCCTTGCCTCCTGTATCCTTCCTACCCAGTCTCTCTCTCTGGCATCAACTACCATCACCAGGATCCTTCAAATTCACTTTGTTTGTTTTGTTTTTGTTCTTGTTTTGAGACGGGGTCTGGCTTTGTCATCCAAGCTGGAGTGCAGTGGCGTGATCTAGCTCATTGCAACCTCTGCCTCTGGGGCTCAAGACATCCTTCCATCTCAGCCTCCTGAGTAGCTGGAACTATAGGTGTATGCCTCCATGCCCAGCTAATTTTTTATTTTTCTGGTAGAGATGGGGTTTTGCCATGTTGGCCAGGCTGGGCTCAAATTCCTGGACTCATGATCTGCCCACCTCAGCCTCTCAAAATGCTGGGATTATAGGCATGAGCCACCATGTTCGGCCTCTAAACTCACTAATTTTTTTTTTTTTTTTTTTTTTTTTTGAGACTGAGTCTTGCTCTGTCACCCAGGCTGGAGTGCAGTGGCACAATCTTGACTCACTGCAACCTCCGCCTCCCAGGTTCAAGCAAGTCTCCCATCTCAGCCTCCTGAGTAGCTGGTATTACAGGCACATGCCACCACGCTTGGCTAATTTTTGTATTTTCAGTAGAGACATGGTTTCACCAATTGGCCAGGCTGGTCTCGAACTCCTGACCTCAGGTGATCCACCCACCTCGGCCTCCCAAAGTGCTGGGATTACAGGTGTGAGCTACCGCGCCTGGCCTGAACTCAACTTTAATTAAAGGAAAGTAACGTCCTCCTCTTCTTCATTAGGACTGAGATCTTGGCCAGAGTGCCCAGGGGAAGGCAAAAAGGTCAGGTACTAGGCCAAGTGTGGCCAAGAGTTTGGTTACATAGAGGGGGAGGTATAGAGGAAGGGGGGAAGTTGAGCAAATAAGTAGACAGACTGAGTGTAACAGTAACCAGGCTTCTCACCAGTGGAGAAGAGAGTTAAACATACAGAAAGAGAGAAAGCCAGGATAAATCCTGCAGTGGTGAATTAGAATTGGAAATACTAGTTTGAATTGATGGGTTTTTTGTTTGTTTGTTTTTTGTTTTGTTTTTTTTTGAGATGGAGTCTCTCTCTCTTGCCCAGGCTGGAGTGCAGTGGCGTGATCTCGGCTCACTGAAACCTCTGCCTCCTGGGTTCAAGCAATTCTCCAGCCTCAGCCTCCCGAGTAGCTGGGACTACAGTTGCATGCCACCACGCTAGCTAATTTTTGTATTTTTATTAGAGATGGGGTTTCACCATATTGGACAGGCTGGTCTCGGAACTCCTGACCTCATGATCCACCCGCCTCAGCCTCCCAGAGTGCTGGGATTACAGGCATGAGCCACTGTGCCAGGCCTGAATTGATGGGTTTAATACACAGATACAGAAAAAGATACGCCTGTATCCTTTTAATGTGAAGAAATAGCTGACTTCAGGCCTGGGTTAGGGAAAGTACAAGATGAGCCTGGACCACAGCATTATGCTAGTTGCAAGAAAGTGCTTGGAGAATGATGGGACCATTCTAAAATGACACAGGAACTAGTTTGTAGAGGTTCCCACTGGCCAAATGTGGAACAGTTTAAGCATCTGAATAATTATAAATGGTAATAAATTGTAGCTCATAGTGAGTTCATGGTGATATAAATAAACACATGAATGTGTGGAGGCGGGGGAGTTCTACCCTTCAACGGAATGACAACTAATAGGTCTAGAAGCAATGATAGAATGAAAAAAATCATTTGAAGGCCAGGAACTGTGGCTCACATCTGTAATCCCAGCACCTTGGGAGGCCGAGGGAGAAGGATCACTTGAGACCAGCCTGGACAACACAATGAAACCTTGTCTCTATAAAAATAAAAGTAAAAACATTAGCCAGGCATGGTGGCACATCCCTGTAGTCAAAGCCACTCAGGAGGCTGAGGTAGAAGGACTGCTTGAGAGCAGGAGGTTGAGGCTGCATTTGCAGTGGGCCATGATCGTGCCACTGCACTCCAGCCTGGGTGACAGAGACTCTGTTTCAAAAAAAATAAAAATATAAAAATTATCATTTGATGATACTGCTGAGAGAGAGCATTAAAAAAAAAAAAATCACCATTTGGCAACTATCATAATAAGTGAACTCCTGATCACTTGAGGTCAGGAATTTGAGACCAGCCTGGCCAACATGGTGAAACCCCATCTCTACTAAAAATACAAAATTAGCCGAGAGTAGTGGTATGCACCTGTAATTCCAACTACTCGGAAGGCTGAGGCAGGAGAATTGCTGGAACCTGAGAGGCAAAGGTTGCAGTGAGCTGAGATTGCGCCACTGCACTCCAGCCTGAGTGATAGAGCAAAACTCCATCTCGGGGGAAAAAAAAAAAAAAAAAAAAATTTGAGAGAGAGTATTTACATCTCATGTCACAGAAGGCTATCTGCCCTACGGATGAACTCCTATACAGCGATAAGACCAATGACACAGCAGAAAATGAGCAAAGGATATGCAAAGACAGTTAATAGAAAATACAAATAGCTCTCAAACAAAAAGATGCTACATATGAAATACACAAAATCAAAAGTTTAATAACATATTGTTGGTGAAGCTAGGAGAAAGAGTCACTCTCATATATTTCTATGGGAATATAAACTGGTTAAACATCTATATAGGATAATGTGGCCACACCTATCGCCCTTTGACGTAGCACTCCCATTTCTAGAAATGCTTGCTCATGTGTGAAATAATACGTATGGGGGTTCCCCAACCATTTTGGCACCAGGGACTGGTTTTGTGGAAGACAATTTTCCACAGACAGGGGTTGGGGGCTGGGTGGCAATGGTTTCAGGATGAAACTGCTCCATGTCAGATCATCAGGTATTAGATTCTCATAAGGAACGCGCAGCCTAGATCCTTCACGTGCGCAGTTCACAATAGGGCTTGTGCTCCTATGAGAATATAATGCTGCCACTGATCTGACAAGGAGCTGGTGCTGAGGCGGTAATGCTTGCTCACCCCTCACCTCATGCTGTGCGGCCCAGTTCCTACCATGACACAGACTGGTACTATTCCACAGCCCAGGGGTTGGGGACCCCTGACATATATACAAGGTAATTCTGGGCAACACTGGCTGTAAAAACAAAATACTGGAACAACATATAAGTCCAATAAAATTCTGGTTATATGAATTATGGTAAACCCAAATAATGGAACACTTTGTAGTGTAAAACAACAAGCTCATTGTACATGATACAGAGTTCTAGGATGTATTAAGTAAAAAGAGTAAGATGCAAAAGTATGCAAAGTGGGCCATATGTTGTATAAAATGGTAGAGATAGATAAAAATATATATTCATACACAAAAAGACATAAGGAAATTACTAATTAGAGGTTGCCACTCAGAGAAAGGGGAAGGAACTGGACGGACAAGAAAAATTTTCATTGAATTTCACAGAATTTTTTTTTTTTTTTTTTTTTTTGAGATACAATCTTGCTCTGTCTCCCAGGGTAGAGTGCAGTGGCATGATCTTGGCTCACTGCAACCTCTGCTT